TAAGCCACTCACGGCGCATTGACATCGAACCAAACTGGATATATGTTCCATATTGAACTCTCATGAAGTTGGCTTCTGAATCTGCAACAATAACGTTTTTCCAGAAATTTCGTACATCTGACACAGTTACAGTTAAAAAAAAACAAACAAAAGAAAACTTGCAACAGTTTCTGGATCAACTGTAGACATTGAATTGGTTATAGCAGTGATGGTATGGAGCTTATGTCAACTCACCCGGACGAACTTCAAAGACGGAGTTTGGAGTCATCACAGGGTTTGTCTATAGTCGAAGTGGAAAACGCAAACAACACATGTACTGTACTTGGGTGAGGAAGTCCGTGACTAAAAATTCCCTTCTTTCTGAACCAGCTGTCCAGCTCCAGCTACCATGAGGGAAGTTTGCTACCAGCTATTGCAACTTGGTTGAGGATATGAGTTGGCGGTTACAATGCTTCAACACTGTTATTGAATAGAATCTTGGCGTGCTTCCAACTTCTCCTTCACGTCCATGCTGCCGAGGAACTTAACGTTTCACATCCTCAGTTTTCATTCCAGCTAGCAGAAAGATCGTACTGTGCCTTTTAATATAGTTCCCCGCCAACCTGGTGATGGATCATTAGTTTACTATGTACATGTTCCCATCTTGTATCTGAGCACTGGACTTTCATGAAAGAATCTCAAATCCAGTTTGATCTTGGAGAGATGCAGAATTTTTGCTTCATTTGTAATTTTGAGTTGCCACGACCTTAGTTCATTTGATTTACGTTTTACAACGTCGCTGTAAAACAGCGACGTTGCACTTAAAACTCTGGAGTGATGCGGCGCAGGTTAAACTCACCTATCACGACACTTGAGCTGGAGGAGCTTCACAAAGCCTTGACTCTAGAACCAGTGTTCAGTGTGGCCACAGTTCCTTTCCAGGAAAAGTGCACGGTCATTGAGTACGACTAAATTATTGTTCATAAGACCCGCGTCCGGACCCCACGGAAGTCTTGTTCCATAGATATACCTCTACTTGATGAGAGTGGTAACTCATCTGCCATGTGACTTTGAGTACCTTCATTACCGGGCTAGTTGGCAATGAACTCACAGTGAAGCTAGAAATCATATCTTTTATATGGGTGTATCTAAGCAAGTTCAAAACTGTCGTCTTCCGGTACCCTAGATTCTGAATCCCATGGGCAAAGGCGATGTAACCTGTGGCCAGTGTAGTGAAATTACCCGAAGTCGTCTAAATTCGGCTCGGAAGGGAGAACAAACTTTTGTAGAGATCTTCGGATTCGTTGAACAAATTTTCACAGCTTTTTACCGCCTGAACACAATATCTCTTTTCAATCTATCCTCACGGATTGAAGGGTCTAACAAATGCTATTGTAGGATCCAAGAGCCAAATTACGACTCATTTGCAGGGCATGCACAAGTTCTGCAAATGATTCAGCCCAATATTGCCCTACTCAACTGTCAGTCAAATGCAAGGCTTAAATCTTCGTCCGTCTTGTTCACGCAGAATTAGCTTGACTGCAGCAAGGAACAACATCAAACAAATGCTCTTGAGTTGTGGTTTGTGCCCGGATTCATGACATTGGTATGATAATCTGCTTTGGAAGAACAACAGAGCAATCTCAACAGAGAAAAGGGTACATTTTTCAGGCAAAGAACCTCATTCAACATCAAACCAGATGTGAGGTTGTAGGTGCAAACCGAAAGAGAAAGAATCATTCCCTTGGCCACGGGTCTCCATGCGGATTAGTTTTAAGATAGATCGATAAAGTTCTTCCATGATCAAACATGATAATAAGATGGGACCTACCTAGAGGTCAAGTTCTTCAGCTCGAAAAAGTCATGGAACTTTTGATTACTCTGATGTCTCTTCGTAGTCCACGACTGCCAAATGCTGATGACTAGTAAGTTGATGAGAACAACCTCCAAAAAATGAGCATGTTCAGATCAATTTAGTATAGAAGATGCACAAGAACAAAGACGTAGGGATTTAGGCAGTTGACTCGCTCCCTTCTTCCAATACTCGTCCTATCGTTTGGGACGGGAGAATCTTGCTCTCGAGGGAAAAGGACCCTTCGAAATGCATTTGCCACATTTTCATCCTAGGGAGAAAGTAACGGTGAGTCCATGTGAGAGCGTTCGACACTATTGGAAAAGATATTTCTGGAATGTCAGGGATATGGGATCTTGCTTGATTTTTGTGGTTGTACGCATGTCATGCGAGAGAACGCGTTAGTATGATCCTTCATGATTCACTTGAGAGCATCGATAACTGAAGACAAGGACTATCACACTTTCACTCCCAAATAATATTAAATCATCTTCTAAATAATCGAATACTACTTCAGTATATATGTAAGTGAGGATCATGTTCATCATCGACACAGATTATTGGGACTACATAGGAATATTGTTAAACTCTTGATCACATTTGTTATTAACCTCATCGGACACTTGTGTGAGCAAAAACTTCACTACAGATGAGATCTCCTGCCCTCACCACAAATGAAAACGAATGTTATTATACAGTATGTATGTGAAGAACAACGTATTCCAACAACTTGCACATTTCTAATATTTGCAGTTAAAAAACAATAAATCAATGAAGGAACAGCAGGGAATTTGTTAATGGAAAATAAGAGTAGAAAGGAATTTATACCAGTAAAAGAGTTGAAAAGCAAGCATTTGGAAGACGATCATTCATCCTATGCCAATAAGGAAATTGTATCAATTCTATCCACATATAATTTTTCCAACAGCGCACATAGATATAGTCTAAAACCAACATGAAGAATTAGGAATTTACAAAGGAGGTGAAACTTAATCTAGACTCAGAAGTACACTTTTTCATCATCTAATCACATACTTTTTAGATTAGCAAGGCTCATCACAACTTAAGAAAAACTAAGATGTCATTCATACCATGCAATGAAGTACACAACTTACACCATCAAAATCATATACTATGATACTTGAGAAATGTGCCAGAAAAATATGATCTATTAATTGGATCAGTTGGAAATATTTAACTTTTTAAATAAATATTTTTACGATTTATTAACAAATGCTATTTTTGATTTGATTCATCTTTAAAATATTAATGTTTTAAATGCTTAGCAAAGATTTACTACAGTGTTTACTGTAAGCTTGAATAAGGTTCCATCAAAATTGGAAAACTGGTTAAAGAGTCTATATAAGCAAAATTCAACCTTTTTTTTTCCAAATAAATTTTCAATTTAAACATTGTCCGGAACTAAACATCTCATAGGAGGTGTTTTTTGTTTGTTCTGTTGGAACACGATAACTAGGTAACAATGAGAAAATTATCCAAGTTCGTTCATGTGACAATAATTATTTCTTCATCTTCGTAACATGATACTAAGTTGCTAGTCTTGAAGACATATGTGGACATTTCGTGATACTAAGTTTCCAAGTACAACGCTGAAATATATACGTACCAACTTTTATCGAGTAACAAGATGAATGGGGGCTCATTAATGTTAGATGTGCAATCATTGAACTTTCAGATTAGAACATCACTTTATGCAACTGTGTGAGCTCACAATGAGTTAAAAAACATCAAGGACTAGTCAAAAGTTGTATTTGATCTTATAATTCATATTGGATAGCAGTCTACTTTTCAGCACTTAAATATTGAGGGCTGAACTATGTAAAGAAGTATTGAATTTTTTTAGAAATTTTTTCAACATGCAATAGTTATTTGAATTTTGAAACAAAATAACATATTTTCAAGTTTCACTACAGATGATCAATGTTTTGAGTTTTTCAAAAAAGATTGATTTTCAATAACTTTTGAAACAAATTATTAGGTTTTCATGTTTTGCAACAAGCAATGTATTTTTGCATTCGACGACAAGTATTTATGTTTTGCAACATATGACAACATTTTTTTAGATTGGATTAGATATTGTTCAGATTTTTGTTAGGTTTCATTAGCGACAGTGATAAAAAAATAGATATTATGGCAGATAATAGACATAAATATCTACAACCAATTGTTCAAGCATTATTCAAGAAAAAAACTATTTAAGCAAGATTTTCAATATATACCATTAAATATTGTAATTCTTGCTAAAAGAAATTTTTTTCAGAAAATTGAAAATATACAGGCCAAATTTACTTATATTTTTTTCGATTTTAGCTAAAAATATGCATAAAATATTTAATTAAAAAATCTTAGAAAAAAATTGATATTATAATGAATTTTCAAGTTTTTGATCAAAATATTTTATTTAAAAATTAAAAATTAATACTATAATACTATAATTAAATCTTCAACAAATTTTTAAATGTTTTAGACTCGTTGCAGGTAATTAACCAACTTAAAAAAATATTTCATAAAGCTTAACAAGCTTCTGATTAGTTGATCATCAAAATTCATTTTATTTGTTTCCGAATCAAGGTGTAAGTCTTGTACTAGTGGACTATAGTATCGTGTTGTAGCGTCATATATTTTGACTTGAGCGTTTTTAAGCTCTTCAAGTATAATGTTAGGTCATATCTTTACGCCGGCTTTATATAGAGCTATGGAGCCAAACTTGTCATATGTTTGATAGTTTTTATGATGCTAGCCACATATTTATGATCTCAAATTTTATTACTAAATTTATGGAATATTCAATTTTACATAGTTGATGTTGTAATCTATAAGAGAGAAAGATGACTTTTTCGATCCTCTTGTAATATGTGGGATTTATTTTTTCATTTTGATATTAGAAACTATCCTCAACCTACCACTTTTGATCCGCGGACAACTTGATGGGAATTACCACAGATGTTATTTGGATTATTGTCAATATAGAAAACAAAATACTTAATCTTAAGTATTTTTTTTAATTAAGAAGTAAACTTGCAATTCTAATAAGAGTCTATCTTGATAATCATCCAAATTATAATATATCATCATGTAGTTCACTGCCTACTCTCCAGTTTCAACTATATAATATCGAGATTCATATCAATGATTGACAAGTATAGATCGACAGGGAAAATCCATGTGGAGGCTGAACTGACAAATTGATGTCCAACTAATATTTCATTTATGTACATACTCGAAAGGTTGGTGATGACTCACAAACACAAAGTCCGTCATTCAGCGTTTTTATTCTCTTCTTGGTGTTAAAGATCTTGTCACTTCCTGTGTCACAGTTTCGACACGAGAGATTTCAGTTTTATTCTCTGCTTGTTGTTTAAGACCTTGTCACTTCCTGTGTCACAGTTTATACATGAGAGATTTCAGTTGGTGATGCTTCGGTAGAACTTCAGTCATTGTCAGGTTGTGACATGCCTCAACGAAAAACTTGGTGATCTCAATTTCTATTCTAGATTTTAGTTCCAAACGATTTTGGAATCTCATGAATATTCATATTCAGAATCTTGATTTTCGATTACAATCATATGTTTGGACAATTATAAACTTCATTCTTACCAATTTGACTTATTTTGTAGGTTCAATGCGCACAATTGAAGGCATTGTGCATATGATGGAGATCAAGAAATTTCAATTCATTTCCTTGATTTGGACCATTTTGCTCATAGCAGTTTGCTGCTCCATAGCAGTTTTGTTGTTGGTGTTGATCTGCATTGCAACGCCTTGTGCAGCCTCGGTGAGAGCGAGGATGAAAACAGCAATGGAAACTATGAAAAGCTTGATATCAGGAATAATTCAGGATCGGTATCAGTGGAAGTGATCAAGATTGGACTTACCTTTCTCGCTGAGATAGATATGAGACCCCTTTGAAGTCTCCATCTAAGAAGGTACAGTCGTATCACAGCTAGCGTGCTAGCTTACACTGGATGTTGTCTCACCAACATCCGGTGAAAAAATTCCTCAACTCTCTTATGTAATCTGAACACATAAATACTAAATGGTGACGGTGATGGGACTAGTCACAAGTTTGAGTCAGACGTCCATTTTAGTCTCATGAAAGCATGCATAATGCGCAATTCATGAGGCGAGCCTAGTATTTTGCACGTAGTATATATCTTGCTCCCTGACTTGAATCCTTCACAAAGAAGTCTGGATACCTGGATAAAGAAGAAGATTATTAAATATGAGTGATCAGATCTAGTTGTCCATACGATTTAAGTATGTGGATCAGGTAGCAAAAGAAATTTTATTTGAGGAAAAGGATTTTCTTCTGTAGTACCGGATCTTTTGCATATTTCCGAAGATTGTCACGATGATATGTGCTCAGTTTTATGCACTCAAAGGTACTTATGCCCAATCAATGAATCATTGTGTAACTTACTCAACGAGCGTTTAAATATATCCAGATGCTCTATTCTAGTGTACTTCGATTTGTCCTTAATCAATCATGCAATCTTGCTCCTGTGGGAACGACTGACAAGTGACAAAAGTCTAACTTTGAGTTTTACCGTATGTCTTACAAAATGCGTTTACAATTAATATACTTTAGAAATGTAATACTCCGCTGTAGGTCCATTCCATTAAATACTTATCATATTTGAAGCAATGATTTTCCTTCATCCAGGCTTGGATATCATGTGATTTATGAAGCAACGGCAACATACTACACCAATCTAATGCCGGGTTTCTGTGAGTTCCCGGATGGACACAGACCTTGCTGAATAGAGAACAGCCCACAGGAATGGCTTGTCACAGCCATGCTCATTTTGATGACAGGACTCAAACTACTCAGGTCTTTTGGTGCTAGTGGACCCTGCCACTTCAGTCCTTACCATCATCTATAATTATCGTATAGTGGCATTGAGCCAAGAACTGAGACCGAGGAATTTGGCCGCCTGAAAATCAGCTGATCATTCATAAAACCACTGTTACTCTCATGATTTTATCGACATCGGAGATTTTCAGTTGACAACTTCCGTGGAGTACGCATTTGAAAAAGTTGATTTCCATCCTTGAATCCAATATCATCATTGTTTCCTATTATTCTCAGTGTACTGCTTCTTTTCATCCAGCGTGGTCACATTATTAGGTGGTCAGATTTTAGTGAGTTGAATGATCATCACGTTATTCTTTGGAATTATTTTTCTAAAAGATGGGAATATTCGAAACATCAAACTGTTTTGTTGTTCAAGGTTTTCTTGTCACTGTAACAAAGCTGGAAATATTGACAGAGATGGTCGTCAGATAAGATCGGTTGAGGTGGTTTCCAACGTTGAATTTCAACAATACACAATACGTGATGTTGGATATCTCCGTCCACAATGCCATGCCGCTCAACACGCACGAGAGCTAAGGGCATAAAATTGTTCAGACCTTAAGTCTAGGCAAACTCATCTTAGTGGATCTGTCATCCACCCGATTACGTACTTGACTACAATTGCACCTTATGCTTTGTCCACGAGTAACTTCTATCCCCCGAGCGGCCTGTCTTGGAGCTTTGTCCTTGATAGTTCCAAGTGGATTTTGACAATATTCTCTCTTTTTCCGAGTGACAATCAAAGAAAGTTCCGGTCTATGGAGTTCTGATTGCATGGAAAACAAGTGAAACCGTGCACAGTATGCTTAATGTGCAAAGCGGAGTACTGTACTGATCAACATATCATACGACGGGTGTATCAGAACAGAATGCCAGTGCACAAGATGATTTCCCAGTAACTGATCTTGACATGCTGTTTGCGCTTTGAATCTGTATCACTCCAACTGTTTCTGCTTCGACTCCAGCCACTTATGCGGCATGAATCCAGTTATTTATTGAAGATTGGGTATGAGGTAACTTCACATACGCGTATCAGGTGGCTAATATCTACTCCTTGCGTCTACTGATTTTGTTTCTGCCACTAACTTGGCAAGAGAAACTAGCACGAAAGAAATCTATTTGTTTATTTAATGTAGAAAATCTAGACTTATTTGCATGTTGGAGACAATTCTATTCTCAGTTAACAAAAGAAAAATTGGTAAATTTTACTCTCCAATAATGTTTGAGATCTTAAAAAAAAATGCAATAACTTATTTTTTTCGATAACATGTATCAGATACCATATTCATCTTGCTTGTTGGAATAATTTATAATATGAAAGTTAGATGTTATCTGAGTTATTGTTTTAAAGGTTGCGGAGTTAGAATAGTTGAGTTTAAAGATTATAGATGGTGACAAAGGTGCCATCCTTAAACTATTACTATTATTAGACTTTGAGTATTTTGATATGACATTTACACTTTTGTTTTGAAAACTATATTTTTGTTTTTTCAAACTTTTGATCAATTCTCTTATTGCGAAAAGAATTTATCAAACAAGTTTTTATCACTATAAACAAAGATCAATTGTACTTGCATGAATTATGCAGTAAATGAAGTATAGGATGTTGTTCATCCAACGTCAAGGCTGAGACCGTGATGTCAAATTTCAAGTACTCACAACTTGTTACATCTTTCAACTTAGATTGGCGAATGATGCATTTAGATGGTCGCCAGCTCCATTGTACAAGAGATTTATATTCTAGATCATCAAAACTAGAATGAGAGATAAAATCTTTCCTTTTAGTTTGCAACTTGCATGACTTCAATGCTATACATTTAAGCCAAATCTCCAACATATGTGTTTTTTCTTTTATTTCTTTAGCATTTTGCTTTTTTTTGCTTTAAGATTTTAATCTACATGCTAAAAATTTAGTAGTTTTCAATCATAAATCTTATCAAATATCCTATTTATTTTGATATGATCAAATACAATCAAAAATATGATTATTTTCTGTGCAATAAATAATTCTTGGTAACCAATAAATAATACTTCTTGGTTTTTAAAACTATGTTGAACCAAAATCTTTCACTTTGACGGGCAATTATTGTAATATTTTCCAACAACATGCATTGAATACTTTCATATTACTTTTACTGCTAAGTATTGTTAACAATTGAATGAATTTTTGTTTGAGGTTCATGAACCATTGAGGCTTGTTCAATAATTGTCAAATGAATTTTATGTCTTCTAGAATCTAATAAATCTTAAATTAAAAAAATAAGTATAAAAATATATAATATCATTTTGATCTTTTAAGTATATAGTGATGGATATTTAAAACATAAAGACTAGATAAGTTATAAATAAGTATTGCAAACGTATTACCAATTTACTATTACTCAATTTCATGCGTGTTGTTTTATCTTAATATACAATCATTTAGAATAAATTTTAAAAAAATTGAACCACTTATGACTTGCAAAAAAAGATGAGAATCCCATCTACTTCACTTCCTGATCACAAATAAAATTGAATTGTGTATGTAATGCTAAAAATGATAACACATTTGTTTGTAAAAACACATCCAGATCTATGAATATGCTACAATATAATAAAACAATGAATTGTTAGAAATGCGATATTAATCGTTGTCATGTGTGTTGTTTTATCTTCATACACAATCATGTACTCTGACATTATACATGAATTAAATTTTCTTGTAAATATTATTGTCATTATCCAGTTGTGCATTATTTGCATATAAAAAAGAGTCAATGTTGCTCAAAAACTTGATTATGAGAAGAACAACTTAGTACATGATCTACTATGAAGATCTTAAAAAAATTATTAAATACTAATCAAAATACTATTGAAATTTAAAATTAAATATAACTTTTTATTTTTTTAAATGATTTTCAATATTCAAAAATAAAAAATTTAAATTTTTTAATGAAATTAGATTTATATTGACTCATATAAAATTCATGTTTAATATTAATAAAATCATTCATATTTAATTAATAATTATGAATGCAAATAATCATTAATATTTAATTGATATTGTTCAGTGTGTTCATTGACATGATTGTTAGGAAGTCACTTGCTTGCATGTTAGCTGGCCATGGGATTCGTATCAGGTCGCTGACCCACCCATATTGAGCACATTGTGATGTATGCGAAAGATCTGATTTTGTTTATGAAGGATCACATGCCTTGCAGTTATGCCGAAGTTCATGGATGTGGTAGTCAGCAAATTTGGCATCAATGCTTCCAAAACTGAGATCCAAGTTCAATATCATAATGATGTGGAGGTAACGCTAGTGCAACTAGCTACAGATGTGGTTCAAAGTGCCAGTGATTTCAAGTATTTAGATAGTTGGATGTAGCAAGACTGTAGTACGAGCAAGGAGGTGGATGTGAGGAGAGACAAAGCTTTGGGTTTATTTCAATCATTTGAAAATGTATGATACAACAAGAAATTAAAGGTTGACGACGAAACGACTGTACAAGTTTTTGGTTCTGCCTCATTTCACATATGGTTGCGAGAGTTGAAATTGCACTAGTGTCCACATGCACTCTTTGGAGACTACTCACTCTTTTTGCTTGCGTCACATAGTTGGAGTAGATCGTTCAGCATGACACACTCCAAAGCATATTTGTGATGTTTTTAATACCGATGACATGGAGTTGATTGTTATCATATGGACCCTTCAATGGCTGGGGCATGTTGTAAGGATGTCTGATTCAAGATACCCAAAGGTCACATTTGGTTGTGTGCTTGAGGGGAGCTCACCAGGCAGAGATAGGCCCAAGGGCACATCCAGGCATGTCCATTGTGAGATGCCGAAGAAAGTGGGCATTGCGGAGCCTAGAGATTGGCTTTTTGATATGTTAGTTTGTGCTCAGGATAAGATTGCTTGGAGAGTGGCGATCAAAGTATTGACCTCGCAATCATGTGTGAGGGATGTGGATGTACTTAGGTACACCAAGGCCAGGGTTGCCAACATGACTTAGGTGGAAGTGTATGTTTGCCTTGGTTGTTTCTATTGCTGACAAAGGTAGTTGGCCTAGACTTTTACTTTCAATGTTTTAAAAAGGTAGTCGAAATTCATTCCTTTACCAGGTTTTCACTTTTTGGATGTTGATTTTGGGAAGGTTAGGTGTGGTACTTTTATACTGCTGGAAAATCATTAACTATAAATATATTAATAATATGACATTTTTCAATTTAATTATTTTTTACATCATGAATAACAGAAAAAATAACTCTACGTTAATCTAATTTTATAATATAAATTATAAAATTACGTATTATGAAAAAATATAAATAAATACATAAATATAGATCTACAAAAGAATTTATATTGTATGTGATGAATTTTTTTGTACTAAACATTGATGCAAGATTGCTATTGTGTGGTCATGAGAGTATTTAAATTAAAAAATATGCATGACTAATTGAATCTAACTACTTATCATACAAATTGAAACAAATTTTTTTCATAAATTTATATCTTCATTATTATTTTTCAAATGTAATCACTTTTTGATACTATTTGAAATTAAAAATGACTAAAAAATGATTATAATCATTAAAAAATATTCGATTGTACGACTTATATTCTCTTAGCAAAAAAAAATTTGATACACAAGAAACTTTCATAGTTCATATGAGATCAAAAACACTCTCTATGCCATAAAACAACAAATCCAACTAAACTATGAGAATATGTGTTATACTTTCATAGCAAACTATGAAATTTAGATGCAACAAAATTGTCATTTTTCTTTAGTATGTTAGTGATATGTATTATTATAAATTATGAGATATGTAAATTGTAGACTTTAATATTAATATTTTCTTTTGATGAGCTTAGATGGTTGAAACATAAAAGATTTCAAATTACATACATTAACAAGAACAAACCTTCAAGCATGAATGTAGTGAAAAGTAAGATTTACTTTGAGTATCACACAAAATTGCTAAAGTTCATGAGCTCACAATATTAAAATGAGAAGATGAAAAGATTAATATCAGACAAAATTGAAAGCAAAATCATAAACTTGGAGTATTAGAGCTTTTTCAAGATATCAAATGTGAATTAATTCATTTATTTTGAAGATTTTTATATTGAGTATGATTATAATAATATTTTAATCATAAAAAATATTTTTAGAAAAAAAATATCTTTATAAGTTTATTAAGTTAATTATTGTTATGGAGTATGACATGCAATCGATGATTAATAACAAGACATGAAAGCTAATAAAATTTCCAAAAAAAATACAAATTGTAAATTTTTCAAATCTTTCATAAATAATGAATATACAAACTGAAAGAGGATCTAAAAAATAATAATAAAAATCTTCCGATTCATACCTGTGGCTAAAATATTCATACAATATAAAAATGTGACCAATAAACTTATTTTTTTCATTTGTAACAAACTATTTTTCTATTTAAATTATATATAATTTTTGTACAATACTTGAAAATTCAATCAAATCTATGTTGTCAAATGAGTCTTCTATAAATTGTCAAATTATTAACTAGACATCAACTAACTAGTCAAAGCAGAGAAAAGAAACAAAAAATGTAGATTTATAGATTGTAAAAATTATTGAATAATTTGAAAAATTACAAATATGCTAGATTTGATAAATTTAGAGATCTAAGAATTTTTTCAAAATTTTTGATACAAGTGTAAAGATAAAAAAAATGAATAATGAATTTTGAACAAATATTATAAATTTAGAATTATCATTTTACGTAGAATTTTTTAATAGTTTAAGTATAAAGAAATCAAATATTGATCAATGAAAATCAACTGAACAAATATTGTATTTTTTCTTACAAATTTATATATTTATAACGAGAAAAACTATGATTTCAACACATGTATGATGATTATGAATTTTTCTTGAAAAAATAACTTCAAATTTTACTTTTTCATCAAGAGAATGATATTTTTTTCAATGAAAGAAAAAAAATAGTCCAAAAAATGCAATTTTTTTTTATGCATAATCATCGCATGATTTGCATATAGATTTAAAGGTTTGAAGCAAATTTATTTTAAAAGTCATATGAAGCCACTTTTTTCATGGTTTTTTACATCAAAATATAGTATTTAATTATTTGATTGCAAATATTTACGAAAAATGCTCAAAAAAATTTCAAAGAACCTTTTCTTTGGTTTAGAAAACTCTAATAGCTTAATTTTTCAAGACTTGTTGAATCCTAATTCCTATGTAACTGATCAATTCATGTTAAAATATCAAAAGAATTATGGAGATAAGAATATTTCGTAGTCATTTACATGTTTTTGGAATATTCAAACACGTAAGTTGACAACTTTCTTTATATATTTGTTGATCAAATCACTATCAAATTTATTGAATGATAAATCGAATATATCATTCATTACATTCATGATTTCTAACAATCAACATGTCAATATGCAAATGAAAATTATTCTAAATCTCACATAGTTATCAATAATGAACATGATGGAATACATATCTATAATAACACAATCAGAAAAACTTTTGACACATGATGGTTTTTCAGTTGATACCTCATCGTCTGCAATGGGATTTATTCTACCTCTAAAGTAAGTTACTTTATCAATTAGAATATCATACTTTTACGATATATAAATTAATGTAAAAATCGTAGAAACATACTTTCTTGATAATGATTAGCCATACAAAAGATATGAAAACCATATGCAAGGCAGCATATGTTTTTAATTTCGAGCACCGTCTAATCGATTTGTACCATAAGTGTCATTGGTTAGATCGGACTAATTGAATCTGTAGACTAAATGGAAACTTGCTTGCACTGTAATCTAATCCGTTACAGGTAATCTATAATCTAGCTGTCAGCATCCTACATGCTCTTCTCTTATTAAAGCACATTTCAAATTTAAAGTAGGCAAAAAATACCTCACTAGCTTAATAAGCTCCAACTTATCGGGCAAAAAAAAAACGTTTATATCCTTGTGATGGATTGCATGAGGAAATATATGAAATACAAATAAGAATGATTACTTTGTCTTCAAATATTAAAATAGAACATGAATAGGAAGATAACCACCCTCTTTCAATTAATAAGAGTAATACACATGATGGAATGTTTCTCTTACCACATTCAAAGTCAAAAGATATTGAAACCCAACTTCTCAATCTACATACAACTATCTATCTACTAACACAAATATCTTGAATATTATCATTCTTCAGTTTTCCACATGCGTGACAAAGTGAAAAGAGCAAGAAAATTGAAAAGAACTTGAGAAAGAAAACTCAGACCAAATTCACTCCATCGATTAATATATCTCTATACATTGCGCTAAATTTAGTTGCAAAGTTCATAACTGCAAAGAACAGAGGCATAAGAATGAATAACTAATTCAGACTCGCAACTAATGTCTCTTGCGGTTCAGAGTCTCTGAACCCATCATTCACGGAGAAGGATTACCACTCTCCTCCTTCATTTGACCCGTAGAGTCGATTTTTGTTGTCTCCCTCTGGTCCTGAGTCTTCGTGCGTTGACTCGTTCCATGAAAGCTGCCATCGTTTTTATGAAATTCGCCTCGTCCTGAGTTTGCTTTCGTCTTTGGGCTTAATTGCGTTAACCGTAAACGCGATGAAACCTGATTATGAATCGGAACGGGAGATTTGGACCAGGGTATAGATACTAATGGCCGTAGCACGAGATGCATTGCTCACGTTGAATCTCTTAATGCGGGAGGAGGCGGAGCAGTTTTGCGCAGGGAGAGCAAGATTCTGTTGATATTTGTCCACTACAATCGAGCCAGAGATTCTGGGCAAAAGGGTGGGAGATTTTGCTGTGGTGGAAAGTAGGGAAACGGGCAGAGCCAACGTGCAAACTATCGCATGAATCTTGTTCTCCTCGTTTGTAGAATTGGGAACGCCCACCGTGACCGAAGCTATTCCTGGATAATCGAGTTCAAAGGGAGAGAATGTGAGTGTCAAAATTGAGGCATTAAGGATTGGCCGGTAAGTGGAGCAGCTCTTGCAGGTCATTTAAGGTAGAAGAGTCGTGGTCGTGGGGTTGAGATGGGGCCTAGACGAGGGGATGAGAAGCGTCAGCCTGGAAGTGTGGGGTTCAGGCTCTCTGGAGACTTTGTGCCCGTGAAATACGAGGAATTGGTGCCCTTCTTGCTGGGGTTGGGTAATGCTGCGAGCACCTTGCAGAAGAAAGCTGAGAACGTTTTAGAATCAATTCGTTTGGACGTTTTGCAACTTGCACATGGCGAGGCGGTATTATTTCGGGAGAAAAAGAGTAGGACAGTTCGCGTTTCTGGATTTGAGCGCCGGATGTTTGCATGTATGTCTCAGTCTGCCACGAGTGAAGTTAATGAGACGGATACATTTCCTGGCGAGAAGCAGCAATTGCTCCATGATGATAGGAAGACAAGCGCCAGCAATATACTCACCCTTCATACTCAAGGATCTTTGAGCCAGAGTCAAATTCCGATCATATCTGAGACTCCCGAATCAGAAGCAGAGACGGAAGATGATGGTTTAACTCCACATGTGTTGGAATCTAGAGCCGAAAGGAATTCGAAGAATCCTGTGGAATTGGGAAATTTAGGGCGCAAAGGATGGATGGGTCAGGTAGGGCAGGTGCGAGTACTTTACAAGCATATATCTGTTATGGACAGAGCGAAGATTGGAGCAATAGCGGGAGGATTAGCAGGAGCGTTCACTTATTCATGCCTTCATCCTCTTGACACTGTGAGGACTAAGCTTCAAGCTCGTGGGGCTGCGGAGTTGTATAAGGGACCCATGGATGTCGTGGTTTCTATTCTCAAAACGAAAGGGATTCTCGGATTCTACAGCGGGATTTCTGCTGTGATTTTGGGGTCCATGCTCTCTTCTGCCATCTACTTTGGAACTTGTGAATTAGGAAAGTCCGTGCTTTTTCAAATGCAATCGTGTCCTCCATTGATGGTGCCACCAATTGCTAGTGCAGTCGGAAATATTGTCTCATCTGCCGTATTGGTTCCGAGAGACGTGATCACCCAACGAATGCAGGTAGGAGCTTCTGGAAGATCCTGGGAAGTATTCGTGAGGACTATTAATGAGGAGGGTGTAAGAGGACTCTATTCTGGATACTCTGCAGCTGTAGTAAGAGCGTTGCCTTCAAGTGTTCTGAGTTTCACCACTTTTGAGTACCTGAAAGCTCTATGGCTCAAGAAGAACAAGAAGAAAGCGTTGGAACCATGGCAGAGCGTGTTCTCTGGGGCAATCGCCGGTGCTATCTCTGCTGCACTCACCACCCCGCTGGATGTGGTGAAGACGAGGCTTATGACACAAGCAAGGATGGGAGTCATGGGAAGTGCGTCAGCAGCACCAGCGGCAGCAGTAGAAGCCGAGATTAGAGCTAAAGCAGCTGCAGCTTCTTACCAGGGCATTTCGTCAACACTGAAGAAGATCTGGCTAGAAGAAGGATTAACTGGACTGACAAGAGGCATGGGCCCTCGCTTACTCCACAGTGCCTGCTTCTCTGCTCTCGGTTACTTCGCTTTCGAAACGGCCAGAATCGAATTGGTGAAGCGACACTTGGCCCAAGTTCAAGCTCTGCAGATGGAGTCAAGTTTGGCCCCTGCTCCAGTTTTGTAGGAACACCCTCTTCTGGTAAGATTCACCATCTGCCTTGCATCAGTTGAGCACACCGACTAAGCGAAGCGACTTATGCAAAGTGCATGTATATTCTGCCTATGATCCAGATGCCCACTGATGAAAGACAGCGGCAGAAAAGGTATGGATGGTAAGCTTGTTTTATCCAGCGCAGTTTTGTAATATCGTATCAAATCTGGTCCCATCATCATCTCACCTCTGTCGGTCACAAGCACTGAACGTGCAATTTTTTACAATTTACATTCTACATTCTTCACCTCATTTGATTCAAGGACTTCGGCACCAGAGTATGGAAGGATCAGTTATTGTTCCACCACTGTTTTTTTGCAACTGCTTTTGGGTTTAAGGTCAGCCATTTCTTGACCCCATTACGTGTAGTTGCGAACGTACCTTTGAAATGCTCACGTGCATGAGGTAGGTTGAGTGTTGGAACTAGGTTATCCCAAGTTTCAGAGGACAGTTTCGTATGTCGAACTATGTCATCGTTTTGATGAGCAACGTGTGTTGCATTTCTCTTCGATTCGTAAACCACAGGAGATTCGCTATCATGTTAAGTTAGAGGCAACCTACGATTTGCTGCAACATCTTTTCTGATTCATGCCGAAAGACGGCGATCCTTAGTTCACCTTAAGTGGTACATTTATTAATGTGAAGAACTGGTGATTCTTTGCCTAATTTATTTACATATCTTAGAGCTTTAGTCTCGCTGGAATCAGAAAGCATTTGTATACAGCAATTTGTGTTTCAACTCATCTGAGTCACACGCCCAGAATTGATGGCATGTCCTCTGTCTGCGCTCTAACAAAGAGGTATGTACATGTCACCCCATTCATTATCATGACCAAAATATGCAAACAAGTTTCAGTAGAATACTGAAAACTCAAAACTTGCAGCTCAATATGTTTAGTTTTAAATACTCGTCATGGAGACACACATTCATTACGCTCTTAAAACCACCAGCACGAAATCATGCACTTAGATGTCAAAAGTAAGCACTGATCAACCAGCAATGAAAGAGTATACTATCTAACACCAAATAGATGTCCAGTTGAGCGATTCACAGCTCGTTGATTACTTCACACTTTAGTAAAGTTGGGGCACTAATGGTTGATCAGTAAGAATGTTTCATTTCGCTGTGAATGCAAAAATTACATGCCTTGTTCTCAGTTACTTTGAAGGTAGGTTACATAGCCAGTACGGTGGACTTGGTTGTGAGTTTGTATTCCTTCACCATCCCCATTCGTGAACTATAGTCTCCGAGGTATTCTATAAGCATAATTTCCTTCTGTTTGTTCCAGGAGCAGCTGTTTACTGAGTGTTGCCTTCAGTTGATTGTGAATGAGGTATGTGGTAATAAGGAATGTCGTGGGACTTCGACTTTCACCGTTAGAGGTAGGAAAAAGTGTAAAGTGACCTGGATAACTGCTCTGGCGTTTCAACTTCTGTTTACAAAGTTGAATATGTTTGCACCTTCAGATCAGGTGAAGGACATGTATGCTCTCCGACCACTTTCTTTGAGTCTAGGTCCAAATGTAAGCATAAACTACTAACAATAAATATCAAGCAGACCTACTTTGGCTTGACTATCACAACCGTTTTCCCAGCCCTGCTGCGTGCCACATAGCTCATCAGGATCATTACTCATGTGGTTCAATCTGGCACAGAACTTCGTGATGTGTATATACGAAAACAATCATATAATGAGCAGGTGTAAGAGATTTGAATCTAAAGCTTCTGCCTTTTCTAGGTGGATGAAGCAAATGCGGCAGCTGGGTTTAAAAATCACCTTGCTTAAGCCCTGACACTCTCTCTCTAACTCTACAGAGTTTACTGTATGACTCAAACATTGCAAAACTCTGACGCACATAGATTTATCTTAACTAAGGCCCTAAACACTGAAGGCTCCCTAACTAGGCCGTGCCAAAACCGTGGACTCTAGTACGTTTAAGTACTTGAGTTCCATATGTACCAATATTGACCAAAAAGGGCAATATGATTGGAATCCACAACTGATTGCTCTTAGAGATAACTACCACTATTATAAAGGAGATAGAGTCAAACTTTCCCTTTTATAACTTAGAAGATATAAAACTAGAAATGATATGAACTGAAGGCACTTTGTGATCCCAATTCAAATATATACGTACGTCTGCGAACTTCTTTCCTACCATACAACAAAATACAATACTCATCCGATACAACCCACAAAGTTACAGCATGCTTAGCAAAAGCATCCTAAACTGAACTGCAGCCAACTGCTGGACACGGGCAACAGGCAACGTACTTGGTCGTACTTGCTGTAATTTCACAGATAACAAGAGATCCTCAAAACATCATACACTGTAACAGCAATAAACCTCAAGTGCACATATATATTTCTGTGAGTGAAAATTTATATATTTCTGGACAGACAATGACCCCATCGACCCTCGTGATCATTCACAAGACAGACTACTGTAACCCCGATTCAAGAATTTGATGTCAAAGAAAGAAAACAGTGAGTAGTTTACAACTTACTGTTGTAAACTACTAAGAGACACAAACCTTCAAACACAGCTTTCAGACCAGAGACTGCTAATCAACCATTTTACTAATCCTCAGCATAACTCACAAACAGATGAAAGAGCCAGCTCGCTGAGAACTAGGTGCCCCTTGAGGAACTTCCGAGGTACATAGTCAAGTCTTCCCATGTTTAACTCTGAAAAAAATGTCTTCTCTTTGTTTGCCTATTGAATACAGCGTTTATGCTGTAAGTTATTACTCACAACCATATGCATGGTCACTTGACTCTATTGCTGAGGATACTACCTACAATTGGGTGTAGCAACACATTCCTGAGATGCCCAAACGAACGTAGGGGCAGGGATGGTCACTGAGTACAAGAAAAACCTGGACACGTAATTGCTGTTCCGCATACCAATACCACTGCGAACGTGTGTTTTTTCGACCGCTCATTTGTCATGGAAATTGTGAGACCAAAGCAAAGTCACAGGTGGCTTGTATATCATCACTCCTCCTGGGTGGATCAGCTGGACTTACTTGATGAGTAAAAACTTCCGCAGAAGTACTGCTGAGGTCTATTGGAATCGGCTGGCAACGTGATCAAAACGTGGAACGTGGATGACATCACCCCAGGAAGCCATAGTCAAGGGGGTCTGGATAAGCTTCTGTGAGATGCTAGTGATGTCTTTCAAGGTCAAGGACTGCACGGCTTCGATGAACTCGTTCAAAGGCTTTCGGTGTCCATAGGTAAGAATCTGTCGCCCGATATCCTCAGTGACCACGACTCTGGACTCCATATTCATCAAACCAGCTGAGATCGTTGAATTTTTCGCCCGATTCAACTCTGCCTCGGTAACTGAGCCGGGGGTAGCCACCATGATCATCTCCTTTGTGGCAATGTCGACGAGAGAAGGCACAAAGTCAGATGACGAGGTGGCGTGAATTCCGAACAGACCGGTGTCGTTGTAAACGCTGTTGAAGGCTGTGAAAGATTGGACCTCCTCGTACTTGTTCAACACACGAGAGTAAAGTCGAGAATACATGCCTTTCCCGGGACCACCGGCGGAGAAAGAACCTCCTCCTCCCAAAAGGCTCTGCAGCACTGTCAATGCATACATGTCCTTCTCGTTTCTCCAACCTCCGGGAACCTCAAAGGCGATTGCTACATGCGTTCTTGGAGAATCTGCTGCCTGCCTCCAGTCACCTCCGACGTACTCTGTCTTTGGGGTGGACGGAGCAGAAACAGCGGGCATATCCGAGAGCAAAGGCTCGGCGATTGCCAGAAGCTCCTCGTGGTCAACTCCCGATGCGGCCAGAACAATTCTGGGAGCAGTGTAATTCTGGGCGACAAACTCAGCGACAGTGGCGCCATCCAATCTGACGAGGGCAGATTCCGGAGCTAGAAGATGATGACCTAATGCACCGTTGTAGCCAGCGGAATGCAAAGCCTCCAATAACACGCTTTGGGGGTTGTTCGCTACCTCGGCAATCTCGGCCTTAACTTTTTGCAGCTGCTCCTTTACCTCCCAGTCGAGGAAGAGAGGATTCCTGATGCTGTCGATCAAAAGCTCAACCATTTCAGGCATGTAGGTCTTGATCGTGTCACCGGTGTAAGCCATCTGTTCCCTCGATGCGTTGGCAAGGATGTTACCCCCGATAGCCTCGACCTCACGAACCAATCGGAAGTGACTGCGATTGGCAGTGCTCTTGAATGCCATGCGCTCCAGCAAATGAGTGACTCCGAAGTTGGAGAAATCCTCGTAGATTGAGCCCGAATCGATGTACACTCCGATGGTCGCGCAAGGACCCGCGGTGTCCTCGGAAGCGATCTTGAGTCCATTGGGAAGAGTAGTCATCCTGGTCTGGCCGGGCTTCACCTGGTCGGGCAGAGCGGGGGGAAGTCGCACACCTTCGAGAGCTTCATACAACGGCGGAACAGTCGTGGAAGGCTGATCTCCACCGAACCACGACATGAATCCTCCCTTCTTCAGCGTCTTCGCCAACGCGGGCACAGCCATCTCCTGAATTCGGCTGGTGCCGATCTCCCTCTGCTGTTGCTGCAACCTGGCCAACCTCGCAAGGCGGCCCCGCCTCATGCTGGATCGCAACATGGTTCCAATCCAATCCTCCGCCTCCCAACGAACTCACACAAATCCCTACGAGCACACACAGACACACACACACTCGCACACACACACAACGACGCCCAAGCACGAGACTAAGAAGACGAAGAAGGAAGGAAGGTCGAGAGCGACGGCTCTCCTCGCGCCTACGCCCTACGCATGCCGACGCAAATATAACCAACCGGACGACCTCTCGAGAAAGAGAGAGGATGAAAGGGACGGGACGGGACGGGACGGAAGAATTGGTTGCTCTCGTCGAGTCCTAAAGTCCTGCGCTCCTTTCTGTCTTTGTCTGAGCTTCGTCGCTCCCTCCCTCGCTCTCTCTCCCTCTCTCTCTCTCTGTCTCTGTGTCTGCGGGTGGAGTCGATGGAGCGCAGCGATCGGCGCTTCGCACTGGGACGAGCTCGACCCTTCCCTTCCCTTCCCGTCCTCCCACTGCTCCACCCTTCGTCCCTCTCTCACTGTGGTCGACCGTGACCACTGCGTCGAAGTTTACACAACCTCGTCGGTCCCTTGTGCTCCTCGGCTGACTATATCCGGGAACCGAACCTTGCAGTGGGCCCGGCCCCTGGCCTACTGCGTATGCGTCTGCACTGTGTCCAGTCCGTGGTTATTTCTTCACAGCTCGAATTCTTCTTCCCTTGAAAAAGGTGACAGATTAATCGAGTGATTATTTCACATGTTGAACTTCTAGAACCGTGGAGGACATGAAAGCAAATTGCAGTGTGGAAATTTGGTGAAAATCCATTTTCTATATTTTTATTCTTCAAAATCCTGAGTTTGTATGTGAAGCCAGAATAATTAGCCACGCCCGTGACAGATTTGGGCGAACTGTGTAGTTTGAGGCTGGCCGACTGTAGTATTGGCATCCAGCTTACTGTTGCGGGTAAGTTAGATCCTTTCCTTTATTTAGAGCATCCGCCAATTGGGTGCACTTGCATCCTTACTTTGTAAATAGTTGTTGCACTTGCCGAGCTCCGAGACAGCTAGTTCCGACAAGCGACATTGCCACATAGATCCTCATCGTTCCTTGTATTTCTAATCTGTCATCTTGAATCATCTTCAGGTCGTGGCAAATTTTCAGAACCTACTCGTACCTCCTTTGATTTCTCTTTTCTGAAATTTGTTCAAAGATCTGGTCACTTTCTCAAGCGCTTTTTCACTCCGCGCAGATGCCGGGATGAAAGGTTAATGACTGGATACGTTATACGCTATTTGAACAACGCATTATCCAACGAGGCTTTCGGGACGTTGTTTACTTCAAGACGTGTAAACAAAACAGAACCACCATGATGGCTTCAACGATTAGTCGCCCGCACTGTTATTAGCGAACAAGAGCTTTGTCCTTTATTTATTGGTCGAATAAAACTTATGGTTTGTTACTGGAAAATTAGTTTTCTTTCCCACCATAAGTAAGGTGCACATATTTTCTCGACGTCTGAACAGTGGATTTATTCATATATCGCGCTGAGTGTATTTGTGTATTTCAGCTTCTATTAAGGAAATGGAGATGTCTCGAAGTGTCTAGCTTTGAGATTTGGTACAATGTTATTTTCCGGCCAGAATTACCTGTTCAGAATTTATTACTCACGCGACAGCAGGTTTAAGAGCTTAGAAGTCCAAGTGCCGATTGATTCACACACACCATCAGAAGCTCATAAGTAATCGGCTGGCCACTCAGCTTACTATGTTCGTACATATCGGCATTTTCTCAAAAGGTGGAACTGCCTCGAAGTGTCTGGCTTTGAAATTTGGTACTGCATAAACCTCCGGACAGTATCATCTGTTCAGAATTACTAATGTTGAGGAAACGGGTTTACGATCATAGACGTATCGGTGAACGCACAAACAGTATCAGAAGCGCATAAGCAGAATCGGCTGGCCAGTCAGTAAAACCAGCCAGTTATAATTTGATAGACTGCTTACGACGAATGCCTTCCCCGAGGAAGGTGGATTCGAGCTGTTAACCGTCTACTCTCGCCTACAAGTTCGCACGGGGCCAGTCACTTTGAACAACAGTTCATTGAGAATTGTCATTTGAGTGTGCGGATCGAGTTGAGTGCGTCGGCAGACTTTGCATTGTGACATGTATAACAGACGCGACCGAGGTAAATCGGATGGGGATAGACGACTAACGATACACGAGTGTTTATCTGGACATCGAAGAACAAACCCATTGAGACTTTACCTCGAGACAATCTGCCGAGAAGGCGTATTGCCGAATGTATACTTTGGGTTGATAGCTCAAAAGAGCCGGTACACCAGGACGTGATAGTACAAGAGTATCATCAGGAGTTTCGACAGGCCGAAAGTACTCGGGTGAGAATGCGTGGTATACAGGGAATGGGAGTATACATGGAATGCAACGTGAAACTGAGGGGCGGACCACGTTCTCCGCAATGAATGTATGAAATCAAAAAGAATGTTAACAGCGGCCTTACGGCAATCTAATGACAGAACTAATTTCCGAAGTAAATGTACACTCAGCCAGCACTGCAATTCGTGGCATTCTACCTATCAGCTCAAATCTAGGAGCTCAATGACGTAATCTGTGGGTGCCGTGGGGACATGAACCCTCGTTTTGATGGCCGCGGCATATCTACGGTATCTAAGATGATCGACAATTCCAATTAAAGGGGTGAGGTGAGTACTTAACTCAACCAGCGGTTGCACCAACTTTCTCATGGCCTTGACAACGGCATGGTAATCAGATGACAGAACGAATTTGGTGTAGTTACATTCTAGAATGACACTGGTCCAGAACAATACCTGGTTCATGGACGGTACACGCCCAAGTTTAGGCGTTGGGTAGCGTGCTAACTGTGAAGAATATCGCTCCACCCACTTGCACAGGTACTGTAGAAGACTTAGTAATTGCGGTGGTTCGAGTTTGGCTACCACGGAGGTCAAAACTGATTCGTCCTGATCAGAGGCCACAAGTTGATGAATACAGAGCTCGGGTGCGGAAAAACCATCGATAGCGTTTGCAAGCGCCAGAACAGTGGCCGGTGATGGAGGTTCTCCACTTTCGGAGGCAACTTCTTTCCGGTTCTTGTAAACCTGTATCTTCGATAAAGCAAGCCGCTTCCACTCTCCCTTGACGACTTGAAACGACTTCGGAGTTCTCTCCATACTACGTAGGAAAAACACAAGAATGGAAAGGAAGTCCTGTGGTGCCAGGTCGGGACCATATGTAATGCAGTGGCACAGAGTTCGAGCCTGCTGATCCTCGATAGCGCTCTCAACAATTCTCGAGCAGTCACGAGTGTCGACAACTCTTCTTTCGAGTAGGATATGAACCATACTCCATAGTCGCAACAGGGCACAACACTGGAGCAGAGTACTGATCAACCTCGGGCCTAGCCTAACAGCGACCGCTCTCACCAATGATAGAGTTGACCTTCTATCTACAGGACTGACAGATCCATTACTGTGAGGTCCGTCAACAACATTCCCCTCGCTTTCTCCTCCTACAGTCCTACTTTTCAGAGACTCTAGGTGGGGTTTAAGCAGCCCTAAAAAAATTTCCTCTGTAAGTGCTCCCTTCGCCTCAAGCTTTTGCTGGAGATCTCTAACTAGCTCCCTCTCTTCGTAGAAAAACTTGCTGGCTGCTTGGTCTTCCTCAAGACCTTCCTCAATCTTTTGAAGGACATCTCCGACAAAGTCGTTCTTCTTGATCTTCTTGAAGTCCTTGGGATCCTTGATTGTATGTATCCACGATTGCTCGACGATTTTAGGGTAGTGGAGAGAGTCACGAGAAACGATGTCGTGATCGCCCAGACTTACGGCAGCCTTGACAACCTCCAGCCATGTTTTTTCTACCTTATCAGGCGCAGTCTCCATACCTACGGAACGGGAGAATCCATGAGATGACATACTAGGAGAAAGGAATTAAGCTGCCATAGAATCATGTCAATTAAAATTTCTGTCAAATGCAGCTCCCAGCACAAGAAGTGTAACCGCGAGATTATGTGAACTCGACATCAAGTTCTTGCACAGCATATGAACTAAGTGGCAATAGAAATACCAGTAAGCCTTCGAAGTGTGCTATCCATATTACACCTATTGCAAAAAATATTCGTCGATTACACTTCTCAGTCCAAGCAAATTTAAGAAAGAGAAAACATGAAAACGACAGCTTCGAATTTTGCACATCTGATGAACTTCAAGGTCACAGCGTGATACCAGAAGCCTTCGAACGTGTGCAGCATTGTAGCACCCATGAATTGAAAACTACAGACTGCTTATTATCGGGATTTGCAAGAGCCTGCACACCTTCATTCGGCTGAATCGCAGATATTGACATCCCTCCCATGCCTTAGCATTGCCTGTTCATGTGCTGTGAGAAAGGCTCATTCACCTCAGACGTGAGCATTTCATAACAGTTAACATGGAGGTGTCCAGAGTGATGTCAAGTGAAAGACGTCGACACCGCACAGAGAAAAAATTCTACGATCTTCGAGCTGGACAGAACAGTGTGAGATCGCCTTCGTCCGGTTCCAGCTTGTCTGCAAAGGGAGATGACAGTGACGTTCCAATCGGCCGAAAACCCTCACGAAAGAAACTATCAAAGTGCCTATAGACGACAATGATTGAGAAGTGGTGGGAAATGAAGGGAGAGGATCACAGGAACCCTAATTAAGTGGGGAGCCATCCGCCGTCGATCGGAAACCCTAAAATCTGAAGGCTAGTTTTGCGTTTTGATCGTGGTGGAATTGAGAACTGTGGTTTAAGAATACAACAACTTCTGTAATGGTGCCAACTCTACACAATGCTGTACTGTAGCCTTTAGTTTTCCTTCCTTTATCGTTTTTCTCCGTGAACGTCACTGAATTAAATTTTATGTTCCCCTTCAGCAGTGTAGTGGAAGTAGTTCTTTCATTTACCAATTCAATCAAAAAAAGTGCGAAGACGCACAGTTCGGAACATCCATTCTATATTATATCCTTCCATTTTCATTATTGAGAAGACTTGATTATTGAGAAAGATTGATTGATAGCGAATTCAGAAAGAAGTCAGTGTCCACCAAAGTAGATGATCAAGTTAATGCATTTAAGAAACGCGCATATATTCTAATAGATGAAAGACATGTAAAACGAATATATTCGGATATCGAGTTCGCTTCATACACCAGAAATGTAATAGGTCGATTCACCTCTAGATTCTGTAAGTAATTAACGCAACAAAATGTTATTGAATTTTTTATACCTCTTGGTGTAGGATGAGGTTAAATGGTATTCTCATCCTCTTGGCTATATAAGTAAGAGTCACTTCGGCACTAGGATCAATTCATGTCATTATTTGTCTATGATTGTTTCAACTTGTTGTTGTCAAATGTGGCACTGGAAATAATCATAATAAATAATAAATCCAGTAAATCCTATATCACTGCTAAAATATGTTTCTCAAAATTATGAAGATCATTAATAGCTCAATGTGAAGGTGTTATTCATAAAGATAAGACTGATTATATGATAATAAAAATTTGTGGCATTTTTTTAATAGGTGATGATAAAAGGTGATTAGTGTTAGATACGTCAAAATTTTAAACTATTTTTCTAACTAATAGCTTATTCATTTAACTGAACTGAAAAAAAATAAAAAAATTGTGACTTACAACATTATCCCTTTTATGTATCTAGGTATATCCATTCATGATCAACATTCAAGTTCTTGTTGCAATCCGTATTCATCTTTGATCTATATAGATTTTTTATAGATTTGTATGCTTCAAGAAGTTAACCTTTCAAATCTTTATTCTTGTTGAGATATCCCCTGGTGCAATTTGCAACCTCACATTAAATCAATTACTAACCTCACATTAAACAACTGAATCCACTCCGACCGTATGTCACCTGGCTGACGGTTGGGGCCTTCATACGTACACTGTTCGGGTCTCACCGTTATGCATATCGTTTGGGCCTACGAACACTAAAATTGATTGAGAGGAGTTGGTTTGGATACAAAGTACCAGTAACAAATCTTGGCTTTTTCGCCTCGACTCTCTTCAAACCCTCGCTCCTCTTGCATGCTGATCTTCTTCCCTTTGACATCACAAGAGCCAAGAGCGTGAAGTGCATCTGTCATATGCCGCAACATGCTTTGGACTAAAACTCAAGGAGTGATTTCCGAGCTAGCCGTCGATATTAACTTTGCTGTAAATTATGGCGAATGGGCATAGAGAATTCGACATCAGAGTGGAAGGAGATTCTTTCTTTAATTATGTCCGGAAGTAGAATTTATTCTATTTCATCTTTCCCTCTAGTTTTGTTTACATATTCGAGTGGTCTGTCTTTGATCAGGTGAGGGAAGAGCTTCTCTTTGTTGTGTTTACAATCGTTCACGGCTCTCTTCGATGGTATCTGCTCTGTTGTCTTTTGAGGGACATCGTGATAAAGAGGTGGATAAAATTTGAAGTGTGGCGGGCGCTGACCCCAGGTCGTTTCTCATATTAGTCAAACTTCTATGGTTTGGCTAATATGAGAAACTTCAATTGCAAGGTTTCTCTTAGTTTTTTTTTCTTTACAGAACGAGCGAAACAAGATAGCCATCCTTTATATTTATCATGTGGATCTTAATTAGGATTCTGTATACAGACTTCTCAGTTCTTGTTTTTGGTAGTACAGACCTTTGTCTTGTTGATCCAATCTGACTACTTCAGCTGTACGCACACCAGGTTTTTTAGAAACTTTTGTTTGAGTGTCCACTCAACTCAAAGTAAGGCGTAAGATATATATTTTTTCATGACTTGGCTGTATTAATCTCAACAGTTCTCAAAACTGGACGAAGGCGAAAAGAAATGATTTCTTCAACTATTCCGAGTGCAATCTATTAGTGAAACAATCACATATAGAAGGACGATAGATGTCGACTTCTTTCAAACTCATCTCTCATTCCAAAATTCACACAGAAAACAATATAATTCTTAAAGGTACAAAATAATATTCTTTTTTCTAATACAAAGAGAACAACACTTTGTGACGTACATACAATACGAGACACACACAATGTAGGAGAATTCAAGGACAATTCAAGAAGTTGAACAATCACATTATTCAAACAACAATTACTCGCTATCTACGCTGAACTAGAGAGAAGATAATATAAAGTTGAGCATTGGGATAAAATGTCCAAGGTGCCCCACAAGTAGCGTGGGTCTTGAACCGTATCACCATTAGATTGATTGAACAGCTAAATCAAAGCCCAACAATCATCAATGATCCTTTGTAACCTATCCAATTTTCCGACACAAAGAATATATATAAAAAAAATCTTAGATTAGGATTATTAGACGCATGCTTTAGAAGGTACTTGCTAGTATGACATCCTTACATGTTGCATAATTGGTGGATATTAGCGGGGATAATTGGATATCACCCAGATTACGAAAATTGCTGCAATGAGTTGATTGTCACATATGTCAAGGGGCCAACCCAACCCCATACTCTAGAAACATACTCAACTTTTGTAGATGAATCTCATGAGAGCTATATAAAGGCTTCTTACGATTGAACTAATCTTGTTCAACGATTGTATTCCCTGTTCACAAAGGCGTTGCCACTACCATTTCGTCACCAAATACAAAAACAATTTGGTAAAGAGACGTCTGGATAATTTCTGTCATATCACAGGCTTGTATGTGCATGACCGTCCGTTTGAAAAAAGGGGTAACCTTGTTATTTCCCACTTTTAAATTTTGCGTCTCTGGCTGACAGTTCTCTTTTCCAATCACTTTTTGATCACAAGCAACCACGATTTATTAAAAAAATTCTAATTTTAAGTAAATAAATAGATAAATGAAAACTACATAATCTAAATACTTAACAAAATAAATATTATTTAATATTTATTTAATATTTTTAATATATGATTAAATGTTAAATTAATTTCCTGAAATTTAATTTCAATATTACAGTTTATAGTATCATAATGATACACCAAAGTGTGATTAATTCGTTGAATATTCACATGAAATTGATTAATTACAATATACTCATGAATATGCATATGTACCCATTCATATTTCATGCGTATGATTATAATTAAATTTTTGATTTTAAAATCTTGGAAGTAGATTTTTCAAAATTATTGCATATTGATGATTATATCAGTGATGTTTCAAAGATATAGCCTCAATTTCGTTTTTTCATTTTAAAAATTGATAGTGTATACAATTGTAGAATTTTTGATCTTATATATAAATCTTTAAATATCTGAACATATATAAGGGTATTATATATATAAATAAAGACGTTATTATAGGTATTCTATTGACATTTTTAACACGGTTTGAGTTCTCCAAAACTTTCATTTTCATTATTTCGTATTTTTTCCTATTGTTCAATCGTTGAAATTTTTTCATTAAAAGTATCAAAATATTTGGGAATTGTTTGCATCTATATGTGTAATATGTCCATGCAAAACATTCACTTATTTCATTGTGATTGATTCAAAACTTCATCATAATTGCCAATTTCTTGCATTTGAATATTTTTATGTACGGTGTTTCTTGTTTCCCTTGCAGGAGTTTACTTGTTGATGCCAAAAATACCGATTTGTGCAAATATTTTAATTTTTTTATATATATCAACGTGTGGACTTCATGCGATAGGTAATCGTTTAAAAATAAATATCGAGTAAATGGGCATGAGATTTAAAAGTATGGATTTTACAACTGGATATTCACTGATACATTGAGAGACAATTTCTGACAGGTGTAGATGGAGCCGACTGACGGCGCTTTTCGTAACAATACATGAGGCGTTGGAGTTGCTGTAGAGTTTGGTGCTGCTTAGTTCTGCAAGAGCGAACGTTTACAAGAGGACAGCATCTTGCACTCAATCCTTTAGAGTCATCGTTGCTCCAGAAGTCCACAGGCGTTGGAGTTGTTGCGGAGCTCAGGGTTGCTGAGCTTTGCAAGTACAGAAATTTACAGGAAGGAAACAATTTCATTCGCCTACTTTATGAAGTTCCAAGAAGCGCCTTGACTGAAGATAAATCCGTTTGTTCCAGAGTGGACATGGCATAGATTAGCATATTCATCCTCGTCTTTTTTATTTAGTGCGTTATACTTCGCATTTGCATGACTTGATTCTACTTTAAGAAACTGAGAAGAAGATAATTGTGATAGTTGACACTTGTTTCTGACCTCTGATTGTCACTAGGACTCATGAGTTGCAAGTGACATTAGAGGTGTATAGAGAGGGATAGACAATCATAAACAAGAAAGATTAGATCTTCCCATTTCTTCCTAGCTTGTCTCTTCTTCACTTTGTACCATTCAGATGGTTTTCAGTAGCTTATATTTTCAAGTGCCAACCTTTTTTGAACAAGTGCAAAAACGAATCGGGAAAAGAAAAGCCTGTAATTGTCTTTCATAAGGCAAACTCAAACCGATGACACAATGATCAGTTGACAAAAGAATCACATCTATTGAGAAATATGAACGCGGAGTACACTTGGACATGTAAGGTAATGATCGTGGTCCAAGATTGGAAAAAGTTCTCAATCGTAGAGATTGAGAGGTTGAGTAACCTCTCAGAAGGTAGTCACACCACATGCTGAGCTCAGATGCTGCGCTGTTTCATCTGTAAAGCTCAAAGGAAGGTAAATCAGAAATCTGTAGTTCGATTCGACAATCGTGACGAAGGATCTCAAAGGAGGATGATGCTCGATGTTCCTTCTCATCTTGTCATGCTGTATCAGTGTCTAGAATTGGTCGAAGACCGTGGAGAGTGTGTTTCTGCACGCGCTCTAACGCACATGCAGTACGATTACATGACAGTTTCCAGACGAGCTCTAATCTGTTGGAGATCCAGGTCCTATTTGTACAACTAACTGCTTGGCAATGCCACCAAATTGCAATTAGCTCCTGCGTCTGTTAAGTGAAGTGAAGTTGAAACATCGCCTGAATTCTGACTGGACCACTGACTGACGTGATCTGATGTGTGCTGAAGATTACTGAACCAGTAACCCATGATTTGTAAGGTGGGGACTACGCGTACCACTTACCGTCACCTCGATCTTAATTTTCTGCTCCTGGATCAGAAGATTGAAGAAAAGAGGTGTCGAGGAAGGATCGTCTTTATCAGCAGTTATTAAATACGAGCCTCCCGTTGTTGTTGCTGATCCTCCTATTTACATCGAAGCCGGTGTCTCTTAATGTACCGTCGAATTTCTTGCAGCGAGCGGTAACGATCAAGTCCGAGGAGGAGCGGATGATTCCCAGGCTTTCGCACGATTCTTCGTAGTCACTACCGCCGACCATATTTCCGTTCACGTTTCCTATATGGGGAGCGAGATTAATGGAAGCCACCACCCATCTGCCGCTATCGGTTATACAGGTGGCTTTAAAAAATCCTTGCGAATGCTCGAAAGGAGCTCTGCAACTGCTGACGAAGTCCCCACACTGCATCACACGAGGACGACGAAGGGGAAGAGGAAGAGGCCCCTTCTGTTAGAAAGTCCAGATCACTGTATCAGTATCCATGATAATGTGACAATTCAATGTTGACCAAAAGCGTACTGATGCAGAGGCTGTGTACGCTGAGCCTCATTGACGGTGCTATGTGAAGAATGGAAGCATGATCAACTCCAGGCTCGACTGCAGGCGAGGAGATCAATTACGTAAATCTATCTCAAAACAATCATGCATCGCGTTCGAGAGCTTACCCAGAGCAGATTCCTAAGTCTACCATCCTGAGTCTGCTTCTGCTCAGACTAAGTAGTGATTGATGGTAACATGACTCGGAAGCTCACACCATCTGCTCTACTCAACTGAAACGCATGGCAATGCTTGATGATACACCGGACGTGTGGAAGAAGGCTTTCATGGTCAAATTTACTTTAATCAAGCGTCATATTGAGGTGATACAATGATGCTAGCCCAAGAAAAATGGTGTGCAGAATACATACTAGTCAGTCAAATCTCTTAAGAGAACCGTGGCATGATGCTTACCCCTGCGTCAGCTACATTGATATTCATCGTAGCTATGCATAAACTTGCGGCGGCGAAAATCAGGAACTTGGCGGAAGCCATTGGAGCCTTCCTATATTAGTCAATATATGAGCTCACGCAGGCTCACGGAAGGTCTTGCAAGCCAAATTTAGGCAAGCAAGATGTGATGAGAGTCCTTCCAAGTTCTCCCGAGGACAATGAGCTGAAGTGAAGAAATCTCCGAGAAGCTTGGCTTCTCCGGAGGTTAATGCAGTGACTGAAGAGAGCGGTCGTGTAATCAAGCGAAGTGAAATGAACTCGTCGAGAAGTGGGCCTTTCACTTTTCACGGGCTCATTCAGTGCTCGATAGGCGATAGGAGGCGACTCTATCTCCCTTTATAGGTGTACGGCCTCGAGCCGGAACAATCGTAACGAAGTCGCGTGCACAAAGTCGCCTCCCCAGAAAGACCTTGGGCTAAGTGACCCTTTACCCAGATTTACATCGACCCAGTGCGAAATGTTCTGGGGCAGCACTGTGCAAGGCATTCTGAAAAGGGACTTTTCAGCTCGGCAGGCGAACATGAAGAATACGCTTGTTTCTCATGTTCACCATGCCGAGCTGCCATGCTCATTTTTTTCTCCACCGACGCCAATGAAGAGCTGCCATGTTGTTCTCCCCAAGTGTTAAGCATGAATTTCTGGCGTCCACGCACAAAAAATATCTTACATGAAGTTTTTGTAAGACACTGTGAAGCGACTGTATCCCCGAAGTGCGAGGAACGACATGAATCTGATTACAGCAGTACTGTATTGACGTCGTGTGTGTTCTGAACTCGTGCGACGTCTGCAAGCGAATTTCACCCGAATGTTACACAGTGCACACCGGCCACTGGACCGTCCATGAAATCCTCATAATCGGCGAGCTCTCTCGATCCCCTTATATTTCCCGATGCCACACGAGCATGCTGATGTGGCATCTAAAGTACCAACACTGACATGGCGTCCTGGGATTGGGTAGCGGGGAATATATGCTGACGTGGTATTGTGAGCATGTTAATATGGCCCGAGTTTATTTCTCAATGCAAACGGGTCGGCCCACTCTCTAGATAATGCGCAGTTCTTGCTCCAGGAAACGCAGCCGTCGGTGAAGTCCAAACGTCCCGATTTGTGGGGTTTGGATTTGTTGCACGTTTAGACGATGAAGGAATGAGCATGTTTGCAGTCGGTGCTGCGAGTGAGCTTGATGGGTATGAGCACTGGTTTATTTGTATCAGCTTTCTCCTGAAGAGAAGGGAAGAGGGGAAATCTTGCGGATGTACTGGCAAATGCACAGGTTGTATCTGATACCTTGGCCTTGCCCGGGTTGACAATATTGAGCCGACAGCGCACACTCCGACCGAAATTATCCGGTTCTCAACTGGACACCGTGTCGACATTCCCATCCTGGTATGCAACAAAACTGACATTGGCCCACCGGGTTTACCAAATATGTTTTTCAAATCAGCAATGTGATTCACACTGCCCTACAGGAAATCAACAAGAATCATCGAAGCTTGAGAGGACAGGCCGCCGTCGACGAGTGCAAAGAAAGAGACAGAAATATCATCTTGAGTAATTGCTAGGTAATGTACATACAGGCCAGCCAAAAAATAAAATACACACTGAGTGTGAAGCATGACATCTTTTAACATTCTCTCATGGAAAGTTGGTACGTCATGAAAATCATGACATATTTCAACGTGTTACATCACTTTGGCATGCCCTAAAGTGAAGACACTTTCTTCACGTTTTCGAATTTCTAATAAGGTGATAACAGAAATTATTATCCCTGCTTCAACAATTTTCTTTTTCTTTCCTTTGTTCAACTGCATAGATGTCATTTTACTAGTTTATGTCTTGTTGCTATTCAGAAGAATCAATTTTATTCATCAACATATATAACAAAACCGATTTTTAGTGTTCAATTTTTTTCTATGTTATAATTTAAATAATGAGTATTGGATATAAAATTTATTGAGTTTAATTTCGTGTAAAGAGTAACCTCAGGTTCTAGCTATTTAAACCTAGGTTGATCGCTGGTATTAAGTATGTATATACCCCAAGGATTCTGCTCGTTGCTTTTAGTCGTTAATAAAGTCTCTAGCGTGTTCCAGCTGTGGATGTAGCCCTCTGAAGTATGAACCATCTAATATGTTGTGGCTCTTGTCTACGCGTGCTTGTGGCTTTCGGTTGCTCGGTTTACCTGTAATGTGCAAAGGTATCAAAGCGCTTGGTTGAAAATGACCGCGAGTGACAATTTTGAGGTTTGATCTTATCTCTTAGACTTGTGGGTAAGAAAACATACCCACACATAATTGGAATAATCATCTATAAAAAAAACATAGTTTAGCTTTCCAAAGGGTAATACAACATGAGACTATTTCCACACGTCATTATGTACATACTCCAGTATCTCCGTGGAACTTTGAATTCCAACATCAAAAGCTCGCATATGATGTTTTTACATGATGGAATGCTCACAAAATGCTAAGTTAACTATATCTAAACCTGATAACATCTTTTTTTCCATCAAGAAGAAACATGTATCGATCATTCATATAATCTAGTCTAGAATGTCATACATGAGATATCTCAACACGAGATTTGGTGTAGTTAATTTCTCCATAAATAGTGGTGACATCTAGCAAATATATATTAATGTGCTTGTAACCCTAAAAGATAACATTTTTTATCACACAATCTAAGATCTAACATGCATTGCTTAGAGTTACACTCTAAGCCGTGTGAATTTAATACTCCGAAAAAGATCAAGTTCTTTCTCATATTATGGATAAATCTAATTTAGGCCAGTTGTAACCATCTTTAGTTAATTACAACTAAAGTAAAGGTTACTCTAAATGTTGATATAGATATTTTAGCTTGCACTAGTCATAGTTGTCACAACAACGATCGGCGCGGTAGAGAGTAGATGTGTTAGTTGACAGTGCCAGTTCAGCGATTCGTGTGCTTATCAAGTAAGAATTCATTGTGTTAGTTGGGAGCGTTCCGTCAACAATCTGTGTGCTTGTTACCCATTCACTAGAAGTGGGATGGATGGTAGGCGTAAGATCTTATCTCCTTATACTTATTGGTGAGAGCTATATAAGAGAGAGGAGAGTCATTGTTGATATCTCTCATCTTCAGAGTTTATGTTTCCATCTTTGAGTGAATTTCTCTCTAAATCCTAGTGTTGCAATCTTGCTCTTTCCTTGAGTGTGGATTATCTCTCATGGAATATCAAGTGAGTGATGATAAAGTGCAGTTTTGAGAGTGTATAGAGGCTGACAAAGATCATTGATCTACATGTAGAGAAAAGCGAAAATTATGATTTTGCAGATTTGGACGGGCTCGTGACAGCTATGACTAGTGCACACTAAAATATCTATATCAACATTTAGAGTAACATCTACTTTAGTTCTAATTAACTCAAGATGGTTACAAACCTAACTCCTTTTAAGGACTGAACTTCTTCTTAAACCCTAGTGTTACACCAGCGTACGGTTGATTCTATCAAATATGCGGATCTTTACATATCCAACACACTCAATTCCAATAAAAATTGAACCGTTTGATAATTATAAAGTACAAAAAAACTCTTAAGTGTAATAAATGTGATAAGAACAAGTTTAGTTCAAAATACATTCGTCATCAACAATTTTTGATCAACTGTAGAGGGCATACTTCTGGCATCATAAATCGTTTGCAAACATGTACTCCTCCTTGGGATCAAAATGCTCCGCAACGTTTGTCACTAGAGAGATGTTGTACCTCTAATTGTAATATGACACTCCTTGATGTGGTTAGTTTTGCCACATCTCTAACAAATCAAGTTCCTCCGGTTAGCTAATTAAGCTCTAGATTGGACTCTCTTTCAATCAAAGCATCTTGTTCTACTCCTCTTGAAACACGTACGCTTCGAAGTTTTCAAAATGCTCAAATGTAATTGACCTTGGATCACAATAAATGCGTATAACCATCTTTAGTTAGTTAGAACTAAAGTAGAGGTTACTCTAAATATTGATATATATACTTTAATGTGCACTAGTCATAGCTGCCACGTCAGCGATCCGTGCACTTAATAGGTATAGAGTGGATGTGTTAGTTTATAGTGCCACATCAGCAATCCGTGTGCTTGTAGGTAAGGATTGAGTGTGTTAGTTAGTGTGTTAGTTGGGAGCGTCACGTCAGCTATCCGTGTGCTTGTTAGGTTTATCCATCACGTCATCCATCCACTAGGATTGGGATTGATGGTGGGGATAAGATCTTATCTCTTTGTTCTTGTCGGGGAGAGCTATATAAGGGAGAATAGAATCATTGTTGGTATCTCTCATCTTCAGAGTTTACGTTTCTATCTTCAAGTGAGCTTGTCTCTGAACCCTAGTGTTACAATGCGATATTAGAAGTAAATATACGATAGAAAGACAACACCTTCTATTCTACTATTTCGCGTGCCAAAATAACACTTAACCTCGTTGTAATTGATAGCCTTGTTATTGCGATGAAGTAGAATATTTGATAGTGTCAGGAAGGAAGTAGTCAGGGAGTGGAGAAGATGCAAAGCTTTCTTCATGTCAAAAAGATTCTTTTCTATACTCTAGATCTATTAACAAATCATCGTGTGCGTGAATGTGATCTTGGGTTCTAGTTTTGGGACTTATACTAAATATCAACAATCTCATGTAGGTATTCATCATGTGTGATAGTTTCTTCTGATGAAACGTTGCTGAAGAGCGTCAAAGAGCTATGTGATTTTGACATACTCCTCAACCTGCTTAATAATCAAAGGATCTAGATGCTCCATCATGATGTAGATTGCCTACTTTTGTAAATCTCAAGTTGTACTAGAGTTGAGTGTAGTACGTACTTCCAAGTTGTACTATGGTTATACTACTCACGCTCTATGTTTTACTTAAAAAAGTTTTCTTGTAAAACTATATAGTAAAGAGTGGGCGGCTCATTTCGGGAAGAACCAACTTTGACTTTTCACAAGTTGATGTCTTGAGGGTTTTCTTGTTTCTTGTAGGGGTTATGTGAATTTCAAGATTTATTCTTATTTCTAGGTGACTTGACATTGAATGTTGCGGAATTTGACGGAGCCGACGGAAGTAGTTAGTAGGGGAGTGTACTCTTTTTTCCAAGACAACGTTCATTTGAGAAAAAAATGGTTTTAGGGACAGAAAATATTTTTTCAAAGCATTGTCAAAAAATTTTTATTGATTGTAGAGCAGAATGTGAGATATATTTTACTTTTTATTTCAAGTTTAGATAGTAGATAGAAAGTTATGAGTGTTGAAAGTTAAGTGGATTTTCAAATGTAACGAAAGTTTGCTCTGGGACAAATCTGTAAAGTATAAATTGCTTCTTTTAATTTTAATTTATTGTTCAAAAATTTGTGTGAGTGTGTATCGGAAGATAAATTATTTGTGAACTAAAATTTTATTGAAAGATCACGCTTAGAGAAAAAATTGTATTGTTTTGAAGTTCACTATATATAAAACCAAGAAAAATATCAAAAAATTTAGATATCTTTGCAATTTTCTTCATGCAAAGAGTATACAAGTTTTCAGCTTGTATTTCTATACAAGTTGTAAATTGAATGCTGCTGGCTGTTGAGCCATTCTACCCTTAGCGTGTAAATGCAATAAAATTGCTAACTCCTGCTAGGGATGAAAAACAAGATGAAGAAATCGATTAAAAACATTAAACTATGAGTGTAGTGATTTTAGTGTATATACACCCAACACACACACCCACTCCGTGCTATTAATGATATACATCCAAGAAATACCACAGAGTGGGTGTGTGTTTGGTGTATATACACTAAAATCAATATCACCTTAAAGTATCAAGATGATATCACTGTCTATGTGGCATGCCAATCCATATTAACTCTTCATGTCATTCCATACCACTGTTGAAAGCATTGTCCTTGGCTCCTTGTCCTTCAAACTATGCTTCAAGCTTCTTATGGACCCGAAGTCTTTTTATTTGCAGGCAAGAGCGTGAACTAAGTTTACAGTATTTGTTGGTTGAAAATCCATGACCGATCAGCACTCAACAATATAATTAAAGTCGTCAAGTTAGACATGCAAATATGCAGAAGGAATGGCAGGACCTTGTGGCATCTCTCAGGAGGAGGTTTCTTAACTCTTTGGCAACCTAAAGAACCTTCTTTAAGACGGAGTTTTATCCTGGAAGGACGTGGGCCTCTGACCACCAATCTATGATAACTTGCCCATGATGGTGGGAGTGATGAGGTCCATCGATTCATATGATCAGTGGCTTATTCTGTTGTCAAAGTGATGGGATCTGAAAGTGCTTTTGAGACTCTTGCGTTTGAAATAGCAGTAAAAATCACGGTCAGGCCACATTCTGTCACTAAATATCGTTGAGACCTCGCTCACTAATAACTTTGTGAAGGATCCAAGTGCAAAACAGGAGAATGCACTTCTCTACAAGGCACAATGAGTACTTGACTGTCAATTTCCAACCTCGTGCTCTGAATACGACATCAAAGCATGCTGCACTTGGTGCTCATTTCACCGAACATTACAGTTTGAAGTTCACATCGTAACTGAAATTTGAACTCCATTGTCAGTAGTGATGTTCACAGCAGCTTTTGTTGCACTGAGGTCGAGTTTCATCACTGCAGAAGTACATGCTGAAGCTAGACCAGTGATGCTAAGATCGTAAAAGTGTGGCTGAAACGTAAGTGGTTCACTTGACCTTCCATAACGCTGGCATATGGGAAAGCCACAATCACGACAGCTACAAATGTTGGTCACTCGCGAGTGAGGTCTCCAGAAATCATCTCAGAGAGTCGTTCAAGTAGTTTTCAGCTGCCATCGATTTTCATGCAAATTCCTTATTTCATCTCGTATAGAGGTCATAAACATCTGCATTGACAGATTTTCAGAAGCGTGAGGGTCAAGTTGTCCAACATGTACATCATTTGGGGCGAAGCCATTACAATGAGAAATACACTTGGAGACAAGATTCACTACAAGAGAGGGAAGCACCGAACTATCTGAACCCTCAATTTTTGACTTGAAAAAATACTTTCTCTAGGGCAGAGAAACATGTTTTAAAAGATCGTAGATAAACCTTCTGGTGCGGCTCGTTTTGCAGAGGCTAGTTACACACTAGATGGTTCTACTTGGATACATCTACCATGATGTCTGCATGTAGAAGTATGAGCTGTGTAGGTGAACTTTGTGAGATCATTTCAGAAACAGAAGGAAGAATTATATCAGGATATAAGAACAAAAATCATCCAAGACCTTGACATAATAGTGTAGTAGGGTAAACTTAATGACATCAGCCGGCTGCGTTCTAGCACGAACTAAATTCGTTTGATCACTCATGAATTAAAACACATGGGACCAAATACTGAACTTTTGCAAAGAAATCCAGAAGATGTGTGCTGAAGAGAGAGGTAATCCACCTGCATGCCGAGCAAGTAGCTTTAGGCGGAGGTGCTTCGTCTTCTTCTTTCTCAAGTCTTATGCTCGGCATCCTGAGATCCAAAGCTCTCAATTTCATTCGCAACTCACGGTCGCGTTCAGCAATTGTTTCCGCCATACTTTGAGCTGCTTCAGCATTCTTTGACAGTACATCCATGACCTAAACGAAGGTAGACCATTTAGTGGACCTCCGAAGCTTTTTTCTGGAGTTTAGAATTCTCTGCAGAATAAAAGTCTAAACAACTAGTATTTCTAAATTGTATCAAGACGAATCTGTTAAAACGTTCATATACTAAACTTTCTAAAGCGAAACATCATTTTTCCATTAAAGTAATGTTTTTACACACCTGTTCTCTACTAACAACTAGTGTCACGACACGAGTCTTGGCCCGAATGGATGCATTTCTTCTGGGAGGTTTCCTAGTTTCGTCCTTTTGAAGCGCCATTTCGCCAATATATTGCCCTGGTCCTCTTTCTGCAACTGCGTACTCCATTCTTCCTCTGCTAGGCTGAGTAAGTGACCTGGACTCGACAAGAACTTCGCATTGTCCGCTGTTGATAAAATACATCTCATCTCCTTCCTCGCCCTGCACAGTATAGTTACCGACATCCTGTTAGAATGTATTTCTGTGAAATTTCCCGCCGATAACAGTGCATGTCCGTCTCCCCCACTGCAAAGAAAGTAAAGTTTATTGACAAGTGAAGAAAAGCGGAGCGATAATTTAGATCTTGGAAATCCTTCCCTTTTTTAAAAAAAACGATATTGTTGAACTATATCAATATAGTTCAACAATTGTTCAGATATTGTTCATTTTTTTCATTGAACCTATTCCAGAAAAATGATACTTTAAGACTATTCTCAAGCTTCCGAGGAAGAAATATAGTTCCGACGTGAGGTAGATGGAACTAAGTCTGGTAAGAGTGGACTTTTAACCGTTAATTTTTCACGCGTTATCCATCTGATTGTCTAAAATCAAGTAAATTCAAAATGGAGACAAGGACATCTTCTGTAATGGGAGGAGGAATATCAACTTACATTGCGTTGTCTTCTTACAGATTTAACCCACATGTGCGTCATAGCGACTCCAGTGTTTCAAGTCATGCCACTCGTTACAGAGCTAGAACGAGCAAAATTTAAGATTTTATGTGGCTTATTGTTTCTTGCCGTGCCTGATATTCGGTCGTGACAAAGAGGAGATTATTAACCTGTCGTATAATGTATTCGCCCTCTTCAAACTGCTTTTCAACTGGATTCACGATACAAAGTGCTGCCAGTCCCGCCTCATTTACACCTATGGCTGCCTTAACTTCATCTTCCGTGACAGACATTACAGTAGAGCCTCGTGCGACTTGCACTTTGTACGGAACTAGGGGTTCCAACCCAGCCTTTGTCACCCAGTCATGTTGCATGATTCCAGCTAGTGATATTCTCAAATTGGGATCCTTCGTAAGAATGAGAGTCTGCATAAGCTTAACTTAGTCAATTTAGTACACAAATAACAATCGCTAAATTGAGTATAATGTAACTATAGCTAAACCGCAAGAGAAACAAAGAATCTTCTCGGAGACACCTGTACAAATTAGAACATGACGTTAGTCTGTTGTCGAGAAAAATGCATACCAGTATATCCTTCAGTTCCTTCGAAATTTTGATCTTTGAAGAGAACGCCAGCTGTGGTTCCCTAGATATGACCAGATCACCTGAATCATTTCCTTGTATCGACAGTGATATTGAAAAGCAAACGGCAGACTACCACTTGGTTTTTCCTCCTGAAATATGGTATGTACACTGCTTGTAGCTTGCTACAACTCTAAAATCAGTAACTGGGACGATTTACAGTAAACCATCAGTTGCTTCCTTGAACGGTAGAGTTTGCAGTCTTACAGAGTACAGAAAGAATCTCTCATCACCTTGCATTCGAGACATTTTGAATGGAAGCCATGTCTGACAATACAGGACTCACCCGAACTCATGTACAATCTAAGTCATGGGTCTAGGAATGTGACACCTTCCTTCTACATTCACCTAGGGTTTTATGATCTCGTCAACGTCAGACAGTCGAACACAGACACAGCGCATTTTTCAGCTTCGTCTGCAAATTATTCTGTCTCCCTATCAGTCCTGTGGCAAAGAGCAGAGATTCACCTCCTTGTGGATAATGGACTGATACATTTCAGCGATGCTCTCAGCGGGAAATGGAATTTTCCCAAACACCATCACATACAGACAAACCTGCATTCACCATGCAGTGATAAACGATGTCCATCAAAGTGCCACACACCTTACAGTTCTTCAAAGTTTTTGGGTTTAGGAGATGGATCTATCTAGAAAATCTAGAACAACTTTTGCAGCCAGTGTCAGAGCCTATGTCTCAAATAAGTCAGCAATTTTCAGTTTGCTTCATTGTTATCAACAATTTTAGCAGTTTGCACCATTATGGTGCAAACTGCTTTGGGAGTCAGAAGTTATCCAGTTTTGGGAGTTACTTTGAAGTAAACATTTCTCATCCTGACTACATAGGAAATAGAAACAGCCTCTACGTGAAAATTAGAGCCGGTGACGTTTGGGGATCAGTAATCGTGTAATAACCTACGATGAGTTGTGGTTGAGAGAGGTACCCCAAGCGACCAAAGGTCTGCTGGTCGACCTTGACACTGTCCTCCAGAACATATTTCTGGAGCTAAGAAAGCGGGAGTTCCAGCGGTGTCATGCATAGAATCTGACTGATCCAGGACCAGATCACAAATTTCATATATTAGATGAACACAAAGGATATATGAATACTTTGCAAGAGTCGTTATATAACTCCTAAGAAACATGGAGTATAAAAGCAAGTCCCTTCAAATACTTGTCCTTTCTTAAAACAGTTTTGCAATCTAACGCATGCCTCCCACAATGGGCCGCGGTACACAGTTCGTGACATATTCCCGAATCTGCTCGCAAATGTAAAGCCGAAGCTTATGCTATTCAACTTCGTGCTTTAAGAGATCCTACAGAAAAACTTGTACGCACCTCCTGTTCGAACATGTGTGAAACACCGAAATCACTAATCTTAATCTTGCCATCCAACGTCTGAAGAAGATTTCCTGGTTTCAGGTCTCTGTGCACAACCTGTTCATAACCTCGTCTGCGAGCAGTCAATAGCTATCTACCTTCAAGATTGTAGTAGAGGACAGATTTCTCCACATTATTACAAGGAATTTGTTCCTTCCGAAGAGAGGTTTGATCTAATTTAAACCAGATCTACTACTGAATAAGAGCAGATCACATGATTCTGATGTGCTAAATGCATGCAAGGATTCAGAAAACGGCAGGCTATACAGCGGATACTGAATATTGTAACAAGTAAACAATTTTGATTGAATACGTATCGTGGAAATCCCATCCATTTTAAAGAAAAGGAATTCGGACCAACAGGGAAGTTTCTGGGAGTTGAAACGAAAAGAAACAAACCTTGTTGAAATGGAGATAATCAATGCCTTTACACATGTCTCTAAAGAATGAACGAGCCTTTTCTTCGGGGAAAGGACGCCACTTATCATTACCCAGGATCGGGCCTCCTTCAATATATTCGAGCACCAGGTACAGCTTTCTCTTCGAAGGATCATCTATGACCTGCATTATCAGTGCAGAGAGCTGTCGTCATTCATTATGATCTCTGTTTGTTCTAGGTAAGATTGTTTGATGCATACATCGCATGGTCCAAGCGATGTACTATATCCTATTGTGTGAACAAGTTGTTTAACTCAATTTAGAGACGTGAGTCAGATTTTTTCTCATAATGGTTGATTGTAATTCACAGGCAGAAACAAGAAATTTATGAGAAAACACCTGTGACCCGTTTGATAAGCAGAAGTTAGTCCAAATCTTTATCTAAATTAAGTGTTATCGACGCAGCTTCCAATTTCTTATAAAGCCACAAGGTTGCCACCATAAAGCCAGTCATAGTCAACGATCGCTAGTACCAAAATTTTCTCTCTACCATGCTATGAAGACTATAACCACAAATACTGTCTTAAACACTTCCTTACAAGCTACCAGCTTCGACATGTAAAGGACATGTAAATGACATATTCTAGCAGATCCTGCACTTACTTCATGAAGTGCGACAATATTTGGATGATTAAGCTTCTTCATAATCGCAATTTCTCTCATGGCACCCTGCATACAAGTACAAGTAGAGCGAACCTTTAATTCTTTTGAAGAAAATAGTTGAGACAAGTGAAACTTTGCGGAAAGACTATGCACAGGAAGGGCTGAAGAGCGAAGAAATATGGCTGTATACCTGACCAACATTCTCTGTTGTGCCACCAAGACTCCGTCGGGTCAGCCACTTTCTATGGACTATCTTTACTGCATATAACTTGCAGTCCATTGTGTTGAGGCACAGTTTCACCTGGAAATACTCGGTTCGTGAGTCGTTTGATTGTATAACCTAACAGTATAATTTGTATAATATTTTTCTACTCTCAGTCCACAATCTTCGATGCAAATTTGATAAGATAACTTTTAGCTTGTTGAAACAATAGCAGCTTCCTTCTTCGGCTTTCTTCTCCGTGGAGTCAAAGGTTTCGTACTCCTAGACCTCTGGGTTTTCACTGTCTGCTAAATACCGGTGTAAATTCTTATAAGCCGGTCCACCGACCTTTCCGTAGGTGCCACAACCAAGAACCTTGATCACGATGTACTGGTTCACATATCTGCATGACATGTAATAAAAGATGTAATGACCGATCTGTACTACTTAGAGGAAGAAACTACAATACAGCAGAGCAAACAATATTACTCGCGGAATCCCACCTTGGGCACACAGTGACAAATGGAACCGCTCCTATAGATTGATGACAAGTTTTTTTGAGTTTATTATTAGTTTATAATATGACTTAAATAACAAAAATTGTGGAGGCGATCAGTAGTTTAAAATTTTAGTGACCAGTATATGACCAACTTGTGCCCTTGTTCTCTCAACAAAGAACTGATCGTCGATGCCAAACCTATCTTGAACGTTAAATTCAAGAGCTAGAGTAACTTCAGGTCAAATCTACTCGGGGAAACTCGACATCGTATTGAATCAGGGTTAAAGCTCACAAGTAACTAAGAGGTGGAGATGGGGGGAACGGATGACTTACTTCAAGCCCACAGAATCAGTAGTCCGTCTCAGGCGACTGGTAGTGCTGAGAAGGCGTTTGGAGCCGTCAGCAAATTCAGAAACCGTTTCTGCTGTGGGGCTCTCAAGCTGTGCAAAATGCTGGGCTACAATAGGATCCTTCTCCATTCTTTCTAGCACAGTTAGTGGAACATGGCTTCTCTTCCTCGTTCTGTCAAACGACGAACCCAGTTCCCCGACGGCCGGAGCTTTGGCCTTAATTTCAATGCTACCAGTGGACAAGCTCTTGCTCTTTTTCCTTGCTTCCTTTACTTCCCTCGAAACAAGCGCTCCATCATGTACCTGGCCCTCCTTCACAGTTTCTAGTACTAGCGCCAATTCCTCCTCGTGGATGGTCTCTGGCTCAGTCCTTGTAAGTAGAGCTGCAGTCTCTAGACTCTTCAACCGGTCCTGGCTGATGGCAACGCTTTTTAGTTCCGTAACAGATCCCACGGTTGAAGAAACTCCTTTGAATTCACTCTTCCCCACCACGGCTTCTTGGAATGAGAGCCCTTGAACGAGAACCTCCGTCTCTTCTTGTACATTGTCACTGGCATGAACTTTCAAGTTCTTCAACTCCTTCCTGTATATGGTTTCCTTGTTTGTGACGCTGATATCAGCAACACATACTTCTGCCGATGGAAGAGAGTTGCCTTCATCTGGAATCTTCACCTTCTCCTGCTGATTCTGAACTGAGGTCTCCATTACAACTTCTCCCGTAGATGTGATCCCTATGAAGTCAAACACTTCCTCCATTTTGTCGTTCGATGGACCCTGATTATCGATTATTGTCATCTCTTGGCTATCTCTCCGACTCGTTGACCCAACAATCAGGCTTTTCAATTCCTTCCTGAAAATGGTTTCTTTACTCGGACCGCTTGGGTCGATGTACTCTTCTCCACCCTTAGTTGTGGTCGAGGTTACTACACCTTCAGCGCTGTCCTTCTCCTGCTGACTGAAAAAGCTCTCAAGCCCGAGTTCGAACTCCTCGGAGGAAGAAACACCTTCACGAAAGGCCTTCTCTTCCGTTGACAGCGTTGAAGGGGCTTGATCATCCTCTCTAGCTTCTTCTTTACTGCTTCTGCGAATTGTGGAATCTACTGGCAGAGTTTTCAGTTCTTTGCGAAATATGGTCTCTATGCCTGACCCGCCGCCCGATTCTGAAGAACTTGCCATTTCCTCTTTGACAGTCGGATGCGTGTTATCGGAAGAGAAGGTATCATAAATCACTGACTCTTCCTCCTTCTGCCAGCTCTACGTAAACCCGTGCCTTGGGAGAACACACTAAAATCCAGTCGGTGTGCATAGGTTAATGTACAGACTCATTTACCGGGGAAGGAATTGCGTCCAAGGTTTTAGAATTACAACGACTGAACGCGCTGCGGCAGCAATCGGCCAGCCAGCGGACATTAGAAAACCGCCAATTTCGAATGACCTGCTCTTGATTGCTGCTACGATTCTCGGCTTTCCGTCCTGAAAGTATGAGACTCATGCGAGCTGCCTCGAGAATAAGGTGAAGAGCTCTTCATAGGTTTGTGAGGGTCGATTCTCATGAAATTCCAGTTCCAGACGGCGTTGCAACATCTGAGATCGAAACTGCATAGATTGAAACTTGAGTATGAAAGTCAGATCCTGTCGTCCCCCACGAGGTGCAGAAAACCAACATCTCTTCGTCAACCGCTCGAGCCCTCGTCGACTCAAAGGATGGATAGGACATGTAATGCCCACCATGCTATCTTCCACAACCCTATTTCCTCTGGGTTTCGCGACGGTAGCACAGCTCGATACAGAGAAGTAGCACTCTTCTGTGCTGCTACAAAACTCACAACTTTTTGAAAGTGTATCATCTTGCCTCCGTCCGATTGGGTCCATCTCCCCACTCCTGACTCATGACCTCTCATAATTCACGGAGCTCGAAATAGCGACTCCACTTCGGACACAAGTATGAAAGTTGATAATTTCAGTCTCCCTGTCCCCACGCTAAACTGTGTAGAGATGTAGTTTCTCAACTTTTCAATTGACGAGCCAAATATCGTCGATTTCGTAGTTTTATCTTCTCCACAAAGTGAGATTCCAACGGTTGCGGACATAACTTTCCCTTCCCTTCTGAAGCTTTATCTGGTCCAGCAAGATGAATGCGGAGGGTCTGAGCCAAGGACGATGGATTTTATCGAGAGAAATCGTCCTATACAGTTGTTGTGAGCGTCCAAGAGTGACTCACGAAATTCTTGTTGTTGCTTGCTCAAAGCAGTGGAAGTAGTGTGATCCTCGTTGCTTTCATGGTTTAGCGCATATTTCACCGCGGAGACATCTAGCTCTTACAGCCATTCTATCTCCCTGATTGAAATCAACCAAGGGACTGCACCGACGTTCCACCAGCTTGAGTCTCGAACACAAGACCTCACTCCCCCCTGAAACCCTTGAGTTCCTTGATTAGTTCAGAGTCCTCGAGCGAAATTGTGGTTGCCCGCCCGGGCTGATATGGTGATCGTTGTATTGGGAGTCTAACTGTTATCTCAGCACTACAATAGTATGTGAGGCCATAATGAAGAGCACGATTCTACGGATGAATTTCTCACGATCAAGTTTCCTCGAGTTTTTTGGTCCATGCCTCGGATGATGCCTTGCGAGATCACGTTTATAATGACTCATCCGCAATGGAAAGATTGAATCCAATTTTGGAGCTTGCGCATGTGGTTCCAAGAGGCATAAGGTGTCTGTTCATGAAAGCTGGAGATCAAGCCATGTCAGTCGTATAATCGTGACTTGCTATTTCATAGTTTTAATTAACACATATCTAAGAGTCTACACTCCTGGAAGTGTAAGTGAATTTCATATTTCATCCCGGATTCGTCTGGATATGTCAGCTCCTTCACATTGAAAACAGGAAGCTTCAAGGGCCTCCATGTTAGCAACGGGGAAGAGCCTCCAGGTTGCGGGTGTTGAAGATGAAAATTGAGATCAATGCAGCAGTGAGTTCTGTTTGGCAAGCTTCCGTGGGGTTCGCACTGCTGGGTAAGATCACAACCTGCAGGAATATGCGGGACACAGACTCAGCTGAGATTCTTCACCACTGAGCTTTTTTCAACGGTGGCAAAGGCACTCGCATGATGAGATGTGACCGTCATTGAAATTAGCAAGGCGAGAGCTGTTTCATGTCACCTAATTACACCTGGGGCAGCACAAAGTTGCATTCAGTTGAACTCTCACGCATCAAAGCTCCAAGCATCCAATATCCTGTAGATTCTGCTCGCGAAGCACACAGAGAGTCGCCACAACGTTTGGATCCTCGTGCTGGCCTATGCATGAACCTCTCTATGCCTTGATAATTATTCATTTTAGTCGAATGTTTCGCGGGAATTCATGGAGCATGTTATGTTTCGCGTTGGCGTGTTTGAATATGGGTAAAACTTCACTGACTCTTTCCAATAAGAAAATTACCATTGGAACCAATAGACAGTACTGTCTAACGTAATTTTCAAAAAAAACTTGAATTTGATTATCCATTGCTCTTACTTGAGCGGAACTCCAACCTGATTCCGCCTCCTGCTCGCCACAAACATGGTGTGGAACCGCACCACACACCCTGCCTTGACCCCACCTCGCTGTCCCATGATTTCCTTGCACTCGCTCGCCTTGTCATGTTTGCACTCTCCCACACCTAAAAACTCAAGGAAAAAATGGAAATGGTGGTTCGGTGACCTCAATTTATTAAAATTTGATATAGTATCACCATATAACCTTGTAAATTCTTATTGACTTATTTTCATCTTGTTGTTTCAATCATATTACATGACAAGAAATACATAAATCACTCTACAAATTTTTCAACATCTCTGCTTGTTTAATTTTCACCATATACAAATTTGATTTATCTTGGAGATTCCAGTAATGATTACTCACTGTCCACAATTTATAACTTTGTTCTACATTGACGAACTGAATTACGCTTACTAAGTACAATTTGATGTTTGAAATCAAAAACAAGTCGTCAAGAATGATACTATCTGACAAATGATACTCTAAATATTTAGCGAATTCGCTAAACGTGCAATAAGAATGTATCAATATGATTCGCTAAATACTATCCAAACTCGTGTAATGACACCTTCCAAGAGTGATGTAAAACTCTAAATCCAATGTACGTCACTATTGGAAGATTTAACTCTGTATCAATGATAGCATTGGAAACTAGTGCAGATATTATGAAACTTGCATAGATCGAACCACCATAGCATGTTTGTGTTGTTCAAAATTCGAGCAAGGCAACAGTTTAGTGAATAAATCAGCAGGATTATTGTACATGTGAATATAATCAAGCATTATCTCCCTCTCTAAAATACTTTTTCTAAGAAAGTGATGTTTTGCCTAAATGTGCTCAGCTTTAGCATGAAACATTGAATTTCAAGCAAGTTTGACTGCATCATGATTATCCCAGGATAGATGGATGTCAACCTCTATCAAAGTAGCAGCAGTCTTTAGGTCTTGATGAACTTAGCTATTAACACAGCCGATTGAAACTTGAGCAGGAGTCAGAACGTTGAGCTCCTGAAGCAAACGTCGGATGTCGACAACCTCCTTGGCATCCTAGGAAAGAGCCTCATATTCTGCCTCAGTCGTATTGTGAGAGACAATGGATTGTTGCTTGCTTGTACATGCAATAGGTCCAGGATCGAGTTGGAATAGGTAGTCACAAATTGACTGCCGAATGTTTTTGCAACTGAGATAATCTGTATCTATGAAACTTTGGAGCTGTGAAGGAGTGTCACGTTGGTACAAAATGTTGTAGTCCTTTGTAAAATTAAGATATTTAAATATGTGAATCAGAGCTAGCCAGTGCAATTTCTGAGTGGAATGCATGAATCGACTAACCACACTAACATATGAGAGATCGGATTGAGTTTGGCATAAGTATATAAGTTTACCGACTAGGTGACAGTATTGGAATGCATCAACTAAGGACGCATAATTGCCAACCTCGAGAACAGTAGCCACTAGTAGTGGAATGATTTCGGTCATATCATTAGAGATGTCTACATCAGACAGCAAGTCGATTGTGTAATTTTGTTGATGCAAAATATATTATCATTGGCCGAGCAAATAAAGTCAATTCCAAGGTAACGGTTGACCTAGTCTAAATCTTTCATCATATACTTGACACCCAACTAAAATTTCAATGGTAACGAATGGATTGTGAAACAAAATTAAGCCGTGAACCAAATAATTGACGTAAAATGATATGAATAATGTCAACGTGAATAATAGTGTGGCCAATATTGGCCAGCTGACCAACCAAGGTGTCAACGATTTGGAGATGTTCCTCAACGGAGGAGCCTTCAGACTTTCGCAGGTTGTTGAGCTTGGTTGTCAAGATGAAACGAATTTGATTGTTGCTTGTAGCATAATGAAAGCGCAAATGAGTCCACAGCTCCGCTTCTATTCGTAAGCAGTATTGGAGTAGAGGATTTTGTTGCTAACTGAAGTTTGAAGAGTAGCAATAACTACGAAATGTCGGCGACGCAAATCGTGAGTAGGCTCGTGCGGAAAACCAAGAAGTGGTGTGGGATTGAAAGTGATTTCGTTCCATGCATCTTTGGTACGTATTGTGGTCTTAACTCGCGTGAACCAATTGAGGTAGGTATCGCATCCGGTCAGCTTCTTGTCATCTAAAAAATGGAATATTCGCTCCATGGTGGAGGCAGTGATTAGCTCGTGAAAAAAGTCAGAGTGGAAACACCACAATACCAGGCAGAGCTCTACTAAATTGTATGGATATACAATTGAAAGACATTTCCAAATGAGTGTAAGAATCAAAGTAGCTACTCCAAAAAATGCATGTCAGAGGTATCGTAAACACAAATTTAATATAATGTAGTTAGGATGATAAGAATGAATTGATATACAGAAGATGCCAAGGCGTTTAAGTAAGTGCATAGCTTGAATACATCAATGGTCCTAAAAACTAATCTAAGATTAGCTTCCAATTACCATCTAAAAAACTATGGTTAAGACAAACATATTCATTCATCTAAAATTGGCTAGCCCTGGTTACCTTGGACTCATAAGGACTTCTAATATCTTCTTATCTAAGACTATGTCTCATACATCCGTCATAGGCGATGTAGCATTCCGCCTTTCAGTTGCGTACTTGGATGGCACCAACAAGAAATTAATTTAAGAATTCATTCTTCTAGATAATTATAAAGTCAAGCAGATTATAGAAATTGATGAAAAAACCATGCAATTAGAAAACAAAATCAATTCTCACAATGTTTAGAATTCATGGTCACATATATTATGAGTATCGAGTACAAATGTTAAGAACATTAGATTCTAATATGATGTAACTGTTCTGATTCAAAATTCATGATTTCATATCATTCAAATACTAGAATTCAAGAAACTATAAATTCATCCTATGCAATTAATATGATAATTTGATTGCTACCGTTTCATTTATCTTATATTTAATAAGATGGATAATCAATTTTTAAAAAATTATTTCAAATGTAAAATTGTTAATGATCACAATTGTCACTGTAATTATATCTTTTCAAATTACACGTACTCCATTTTAATTATAGGCTATCACAACCCTAACAACACTAAGAATACTTTGCTTTTTTCTGCTGAAGATATACTTCATGTTCTACATTTGAAGTACATGAAGTATATCTTCATGTCGTACATTTAGATAACAATGACATATGTGTATTTAATAACTTGAAGAAATGGTTAAACTTGCCAATACTAATAAAAACGTCTCCTTCATTAACAACATTATTTTTCTTTCACATGAAATTTTCAAACATCTATCATAATTCTATCAAATATTCCAACATTGATGGTTTTATGATGACATCAACCAAATTCAAGAATGATAGGTTTGTAGATTAAGTATGAATTGTGAAACGAAGAAATGTAAATCAGCAAAAAAACACAAGTGAATTTTCTAGTAAAGCAAGGTTATTCATAGGCAGTGCATCCACACATGATTTTGCTTGCATAAACCAGAATTTTAGATACAAAAGTAATCTCGCATTGTCATCATTACTTTTAGTGTCAGGTTGTTTAAACAAGAAAACTACTTGATGAAACTCTGCAAAACTAAAAATCTTTGCTGATTACCAACACGATTTAACTTTACCGATATAAAGCCATGATTTTCCAACCCACAATCATCCATGTTTCAATATGAATTTTTGTAATTGGATAGTTGGCAATTATAACATGGAGTAGTGATTGCTCATATTGGACCAAAGTAGTACTCTCGCGAGACTATTTTGGCCATGAGAATGAGTTGTTTCTAGAGAATCTATGAATGATTGTCGTGACGAAATGCAATGTAGAATAGCCAATCTGCATAAAAAATAGTTATGCACATCTTGCATTTCCTTAATTGAACCTCAGATTTTGCTCTTTGTCTCCTTTCGTTTTTTTATCGTAATTCTAATTGTTGAGAGAACCTTGTCTGGAGACTTTGTTTTGAGAGTCTTTTTTATTTTAAAAAAAATATTTTTGTGGATGGTTTGTTGTTGTGTTTAGATTGTTTTGAACTCTCACTCCATGGAGTTTGTGGGGGATTTAAGATCTACTTTGGACGGAGGTCTTTTCGTGTGTTATTTATAGATAGTCCTTTGGTATCCAGTCCCTACAATGGTTTGTATCCAACCCAGATTTCTTATTGGAACATGGGTGATACCATTGTGTAAAATGACTCGTGTTAGGTACCAACAAGTGTTTTGCCTTTCACAACAACCCCATCAAATACTTTTTTAATTTTAACAAACAACTTTTTATGGTCAAAGCAATAGAAATAAGAGATTTATAATGATCCATGACATACAAAGTTACCAAAAGTATCTCATTGTTGAATCTCAAATGAGGATCTCACATTGAGTACCTCATGTGAGAAATTATGGTGATAGAGAAGAGAGAATTCTCTGGAAAACACACTGCAAACTTCTCATTCCAATTCTATCTCCCCGTCTTTAGTACAATTAAGGGCTGTATGCAATGTAGTCTATCTCTACTGTCCGTTCATTGATTGTCACCTCCAACCTACTCTATAATATGGTTTCCTTCAAAAAATCTACCGTAAAGTTTTCTTTGCATAGAGCTCAGGTCCTACAGCCGTTACGAAAAGTTACGGAAAGTATTATTGATGAAAACTTGCAGAGAACTGCAAGGTGATGGATGATTACGGATGTTTTCGGTGGGTCCATACAACTTTGTATGGACGAGGCCAAAGTGGAAAACGAAGTGCAAAGGGTATCCAAAAGTAGACGGGAATGTTCGGTTACCTTTCCTGGAACCCACCGAAAGTTCTCAAAAATTGTAAATCCCTGTTGCTGGAACTTCCAAAAGGGGTACGGGATGTTTTGAAGCCCACTCAGAATTTGCTTCAAACCTAAATTTGGTCAATCACGGTTACATTCGGTAGAGCACAAGTATGCTAATAATCAACTGGGATGGGGGATAGATTATGACTCCAGTTGAACATTCCATAGCTCGCAGTTCTCAATGTAAGATGTCCTTTTCCAGAAATATTATGCACCGTGCCAAGTCAAAAGATCCAAACTGAACTCATCAGCTGGCGAAGGAGCATCCTCGTCGAAGACATTGACTTCGTCTCTGCTTCGTGGCGGTTCATTTTTTTTGAGGACGAGGAAAGCTGTATCCAACTGCTGCTATCGGAGTTGCTCGAGATTCCTCTGCAAAAGAGGCAACAGCATTATTTGCAGTTGCAGTTTCACCGGCATTGAAGCTGCCATGTACAGTCTACCAACTTTTTCAAACACAAAATCCCAGTGAGAGCTGCAGACAGCACGACTGTCGATGATTTGGAGCGGGATTCGCAGGTAGAGATTTCCTCTGAACCACCACCACTTGGCACCTACTGCATTCGAATGCAGTAGGTGCCACTTTAAAGACATGAGAGTGTGGGACCAGGAGCGAGGATCGTGAGGCCGGAGCAGCGTCCGACACCGTCGAAAGCATGGGCCTGTGCTGTACAATAATCTTGACTTCGACTCCAAGGCACTGACTGATATTTCTTTGTGAAGTCAGGACCGATGACGCTGATCAGTACTGTATTTCACCAACAGTTCCCGCGTATTCGTCGTCCTTGCAGCGTGTTAGATAAGACTACTGCGCTGCTGAAGGTTGTCCTCGCTCGACTGAACAGATGAAGACAGAAACTGGACGCTTGTTTCCAGGAGTAACTGCACAGGTTTCTACTCGATCCTGACGATTCTTCATTTTAACAGCAGTGATTTTAACAGCAGTGATTTTACTGTGTAACGTTACCACAGCAGCATCGACCGGAGATCTGGACGAGCTCTTGCTGTTTCATTCGGATCGCCTACAGAGGGTCCTCGTGTTCCTGGTCAGTGGACCCGTCGCTAATGAGACAGACTGCGAGCCACTCCGTTCTGGAATATAAAGGGAAGATTGCACTATGTTGATCCATGTGAAGGAGTGCGGCAGTTATTCATGACTCTCCGCTCGATCAGAGGCTTCCTCTGGGCTGTATCTTACATTTTCCGTATTATGTTGCGATGTTTTTCTCTCACGAACTCTTCTTTTGGTTCAGCTAGGCTTCTCGGATTTATCTCGCCATGCCCCTCATGTGTTTTAGTTGGTAGCCCTAAAAGTGATCTGTGTGGGGTCTCTTAAAAATCAGCACATTGGAGACTGCTGAGGTTGACACGGTCTTCTTATTGATGTTTGGATTCTTCCACATATCGCCTGGACTCAGTTCAACTGCCGGATTCTGTTTCCCGGCTGCTTACAAAGGGTGGCTCGGTAGGAGGATTCTGTGACATGTCAGTTTAGTGCTTCTTGACTATATGGAACGAGTGACAGGTTCTCGTTACTTCTCACCCTCCAAATGCCCATACTATATCGTCATCTTCGGCAAAAGGTATTGAGTACACTTTTACCTGCAAACTGTCGAATTAGATACTGTAAATTTGTTAGAGATATGCCGCTGACAACCTTTACATTGTTGAAAACAGGGTTTCAGCACTGGGATATGTCTCGTGTGGTGGAAATTCTTGATGCGAATCTATCAATTGGAGTTTAAAATCTGTATGTTTTATCGTCTACGAAAGCGAGGTTCTGGGGTGGCAAGGTGCGCGTGAACGAGGAAAACCGTTAGGAGTGAGATTATCATGGCCATGGCCATGGACATAACACCAGATTTTGATCTCCAAGTTGATAGATGCGCATCCAAATTTCCATACTCATATCAACCGGAGATCGAGTAAAATTCTGCTGAGCTCCCTTTACAACCAAGGTATGACGTTGTTGTTTCTGACCTGCTTCGCTATGAAATTGATTGACTCCACAACAGGTCCCAGTTTCCTGCCCAGAGAGAGCTGGGGGATACATTTTGCAACTTTGTTGTATGGAGGATGAAAGCTCTAGAATATTGACACTGAGGAGGACTTGGAGAACATTCGATGAACCATCTGCATGGACATTGCTGGTAGGCTGGATATTTACTAACTTCAAACTGATTGAGCTCAATATTCTCTATTAACTGCGCGGCACACAAGTATGTTTTTACACGCAGACTACATTTCACAGGGAAAAGATGGGCATTAGATCTACTGGGCGGTGGACTTCGTCTTTCTTGTGTCACTCACTCCCTTCAGGTGCCTCGGCAAGGATCAGAGTGAAGCCATATTCGATGGACGAACGACTCTGCAGGCCTCAAGGGTTTTTAGTATGGAAGCTTGAATTGCGATATTAATTCTCTACCCCTTGCCCGCAGCATAAGAGTTTTAATGTTGTCCAGTTTCTTTCAGGGTGAACCACATTCCGATGGCTTGAGTTGGTTGTGCAACATAAATTTTGTGATACGATGAAACGGATCTATACTCGTTCCATCCTCTGTCTTGGATTGCAGTTCACATGCTCGACGGCATCTACTATCTTGGTGATCTAGATATTTGTAACCTGGTTGCACAATTCATACAATTGGTGGTTGCGGAAGAAATACGTGGCGAAAATACGGTCGAGAATCAGAAGTCTTGTACCATCGTATGCAGCTGACAGCATCACCAGCTGTAAATCGTATAACAAGATTTAAGATTGAGAATACTAGAAGCCCGGGAAGATTGTAATTAGGGAGCTCAATGACCTCTCAGGACGAAGTGTGCATACACATAGCCTTCTCTCCATTGTGAGTGGCGAGTGGCTGCTACAACTCTCTGCGAGCAGCACAACATAGCTCCTGAGTGTTATCTGCTGGTGAAAGGAATTTTATAGGACTAGTCCTGCTTGGTACTGAGCAGCAGATATCCAATATGCCGGGCTTCTAGCATGTAAAGTACAAATTTTCCTTATGAAAAAATCTTTGCAGATTATTCAGACGCCCTTTCACACTGCGTCAAGAATGATGATTTGACGATGTTGGAATGTATAGGTGTGCTGCCGGACCGTGAGCCTCTGTGCAGAGTGAGTCTCCGTTGGGAAATCCGTACCTTGGAGACTAACTTGTCTTGAACAACGGTTTTGCTGTCCACACCCATTCCGTAGAGTTGCCTTCCAGTAATATGTGATCTCTTTCCTGTGATCTCTTTCACTCACAACACGTTGAGTTACCATTTTACCACATGAAAAATTACATCTGCGTTTGAGGAGATACCCGCACTGTTAAATAAATTTATCTTTCCAAAACGAACACTGGGTTTTAAAATTCAGATATATCCGACTTATTTGACTAGCATTGTTGTTGATACGAAATATGTAAGATGATATAAGAAAGCGTTACTTCCGCAAGAGACAATAAAATTGCACTATCGTACAGTCACCTAGGCTTAGTTCACAAAAGCAGGTCATTACCCACAACACATTGAATACACGGAAAAAGCCTCGTTGATTACAAATGCCCGACAAGTATTTTCTCTCATGTCTTCAAACTAAGCCAATAAGCTCGCAGCCATAAATATTATGAGTACCATATGAGAATACATTCAGGTAGAATGGAATTATTATTTGTATTGCAGAATCCTGTGTTTAATACTGCTCACACACTCACCGCTGCAATCCCATGCTGGCTCTTACCAACTAACTATATGAGTATCACGAGGTGTGTCGTTAATCGGACTTAGAACTGGATGCGTTGGAATGCTCAATTACGTTGAGTTGGGATAGTTGTAAAGGAACTAAAAGTCACTTGATGATCATAACATCTAATTTGCTGCATTCCAACAACTCCTACTTTCGCACCTGGAACACTCCCTACATGTACAGTAGGATTCTTTTTAACTTGGTTGCAGGGTGGCTCAATATCTGAACTTGGTACCTTTATTATCTCAACCACTCTCGTAAATTACCCACAATGGATGTATGTTGACTTGCTAGCACTATTTAGGTGTCATAAATTTGAATATGAAGCAATATCAAACCAAACATAAAATACCCAAAATAATTAATATTAAAAGCTGTTGATAGAGACAAAGTTCATCAACCTCGATTTTGTTTGTTTGCTTGGTTGAGTTCTATTTATCTGAAAAACCTGACGTGAGACCTCGTTGTGCTGGATCCTGTGACAAATATTCGTCCTGAAATGACAGTAATTCAGTTCCGAAGATTATGGCGACCAATTTCGTTTTTGGAGATTAGAAAACTATAAAGAACACTTGTTGATTTGAACACAGAGTTGTCATTTGATTACGAATACTGTAAACACGTCAAAGTTAAAGCCCTTCTATATAGAACACCTTAGCAGTGTCGTGGTACCGTTATATGCACATTCTAACAGTAGCTGTTTCTTGCGCTGGGCTGCGTCCCATCACCTCGTCCCCATACGTAAAGCTTGCAACCATTATCATTCTGATGAACGATTCTGAGTTTGAGTAAAACATAAACTTTGCGTATGGATGATTTGTGATGTGTATGTTAGTTCATTTTTACCATAACAATTGCATAGAAATATTCACAAAGAAACATTTGTTAGTACATTCTGTTCCGTTAATCCATGGATAAACTCATATACATCTATAGTTTAAATATAGCAGTTGCAATGACCTTTCACCCTTCCTTTGACATTGACAATGCCCTCGTGTGAGAAGCCATGAGGGTATCATAGCACTGTAATACATTCTGCCACTGATACTTAACATGGAGATTCTTGGCAATCTCTTTTTACCATGTCGTATTGTAGAGCAATTTTGTCTTCAACATCCAATGTACTTTTGTGTTCTTCTCGTTAGTTGAGGATACATATGTTCTTAGCCTTGTAACGTAGATATACATTTGCTTCAAGTTGTAAGTAGGAGAGTCAAGATGTTGAATTTATATCATGCTCGTATTGAAACGTTACTACTCATCTCCAACTCCCAAAACGCTTATGCAATTTAGAAGTGTCAGTTGACTTCAAGAATATTATATCCCACTAACTATATGCAGCATTTGCCAGAATCTGCATCTTCATATTGTGGGAAATTTATACATTATGAGGGTGAATAATTTATACCAGATGAACGGAGAATTGGTATATCTATGAATTTTTTGATACTTTGGTATTTACTCTACATTTGGAAAGTATTTTGATGTCTAGTCTATTTGTCTATGAGGACCTCGTTACTGATGTAAATATGATGATTATTGATCATAAACATGATATACTTTTAAAAGTTGAACAATGAATTGATGGAATTGAACGACAACGATCATATCTTTACTATACAGACTTATCATACCTTTCTCACTTTGGAGTTTGGAGTTTCAACTATACATGACAGCTTAAGCAGAGTTGTGGGAGAAAGTGAAAGTCTACCATATAAGAAGGCACGAAAGATCACTATCTTTAGTTTATTTAGTTTAGTTCCATTATATTAGACCAAATCTGTCCATTTGTTTAAACAGAACACTGCTTAGTGCTATCGATAAAGAGAGGTAATGGTTTCTTAGTTGATTATTCATTGAATGCTTGTAGAGCAGTTTTGGTAAATGTTATGGATATCTTAGCTAACTAGTATCTCTCTCACTGTTGTGTTATTAGATCCTAGCCTAATTTTACGTTTGGCTCATCATTGCATGGGTCGATGGGGTCTTCCTACCATTAATGCATCGTTACTTTGATACCCCTATGAGTTCAAATAGATATCTTATTATATCTTTTGCTATCTTTTATACTTAGATATCTCTTTTGCCCAACCCCTGTCAGTGTTGTCGATCAGGAAATCTGCCAGTGTAACTTGTGCAAAGCAGAAGAATTCATCTCCGGTTAGAATGAAGTCAGATAAAACAATGTAGCCCAGCACATTTCTTGACCCTTGGGGTTCTAGACGAAAGAGCATCGTTCTGACTCCCATATGTAGGTCACCCTCCGGTCACCCGAAGGGAATTTTAGAACCCGCGCCCGACAGGTGCCGCTCTGGACGAAACCACGACACGATTCCGCCAACGTGGTAATATCAGTGCCACGTGTGCGAATTCTAGAGCGAGCGTGGTATGTTCGGATTGGCCTCTGCTTCGTTGGCGGCTTGCCAAGGGCGACAGAGATAAAAGATGCCCGAGGTCGTTAAATTTTATACATGGGCCGCAGCAGTGCGAAGAGATCGACGGGCGAAGCAGCAGCATCGCCAGCCCTCTCCAGAAGCACAGATGACGTACGTGCCCAATATGGGATGGGAGATCGCGTGTGCCAACGACAAACTCTTTCACTGACGTTGACTGGTCGGGGGCCATCATGCTGTCCGATCACAGTATATAAGACTGTCATCTCAGCTGGTCTCATCGCTCTTACTCGCTCACACAAACACAGCATTTTGATTTGAGACAGACCTCTTGCTCGTCGAGTAGGGCTCGTTGCCTCCAACTCCGTGCTTGGGATTCGTGGATCGGACTTGGCTACTTGGTGTGGACTGCTCAATATTTCAGAATGGATACTCTCTTCGGCAGTGGTCAGCACACTCATGAGTACAAACCTGAGGAGATTCAGCAACAGACGTTGGGAGGTCAACAGCAGCCCATGAAGCCTACAACTGAAGCTGGCTATGGGGTCGGAATTCAAGGAGGGCGTACTCATGAAAGCCCTCTCACATCAGAGGTCCGAACTGGACCCATGTATAGTACTGACACGGTAAGAGCTCGAGCCGCCGAATCGTCATCGTTATAGTTATACTGTGATCATCAGTGAGCTAAAAATCTGAGCATGTGATTCTCCTAATCATCAAATTTAGTTGTGTTCAACGACAGTCATCGACTTCTATTCGACAGTTTGATTGTTTCTTAGTTCAATGGTGGCTCACGTTTTAAACTTGAATTGCTGATAGCATGTCACTTTCTATGTGTGAAATTTTAGCATCTTGCTCCACGTACAGAATACTTCATTTGACAGTGGGCAGACTGTTTGAAGCTTGGTTCAGAAGATGGTATGACTGTCGATGACAGTTGCACATGTTCTGCTCGCTAAAGACTTGCATGTAATAACTTATAGAAATTGGCGCTATATATGTTCCTGAGCTTTACGTGAGTTGAACTGATTGCCACTTCAGCAGAAAAATTTCAATTTCGCATTTACATTTGACCAGTGCAACTACTTTGCAAACAGCAAGAATGTATAAGAAAATCCACCAGCAGTCATTTTATTCTTTAACGCTTTTATTATTGTTCACTGCAGTTTGACTCGGAGTTGAGAGAGGAAGACTCTCGCAAGCAGAAGAAGGATAGAGGTAGCCCGAACTCAATTGATGATGCGCTTGTATCGGTCAAAAAAGATGACAAGAATCGTGAGGAAGATACCTGAAGGTGAAGATACGGGCCTGGCATAATATCTGAATCTGTATGTGTGAATTTCACGTGGTGCACAGGGTAACTGCAATCTTGAGATCGATGTTTGTTCACTGTGGTGTTATCAATGCAGGCACTTCTCAGAGGTGCAATGTGTAGTATAACCTCACGACGACCTTCGCGAGGCGTTTCCGTTGTACATTAGGGAATATTGTACACAATGTATAATGAAAGATAGTCACCTGCTAAATTCCAAGGGAGAAGAAAGTACTTCGATATGCGTCTATACTTCGCAAGCTAGAAAGATCTTGAAATATGTGAACATAGTTGAATTATTTTTGCACACTTAGTATCTCATCTGGTAGAGTTTCAAGCCCGAAATCTTGTTTAGCACAACAAAGTTTATATCGAATGTATCAAAACTTGTGTTTAAAACTACATTGTTTATCTTATCATATTTGATATATATTCTGGTTGTTAACGTGTGTTTTCCCAACTTTCGTTCAATTAAGCGTTGTGAAATTGTCTAACTGGGTTCTTATCAAAAAAATGTTTCTTATCTTACCTTATATAAGCTTTAATGTCACACTGCAAGAAAAGTAGATTACAATATAGAAGAAATAATCATACCCAACCATCGCCATGGACTCTACAACAGCTAAAAAACTGTTCTAATTATCATAACACACATATCTAGAAGATGAAAAGACTAAGATCATAACTACATTTCATTCTTACAATTGTTCACTTTCATGGTTTTAAAAATCCAGGCAATATGGTCTTGAAGCACAGATGTATGATATGTGTATCACATAACAATATGTATTTTGTACAAACTTTCCATGTAACAAAAATCAGAAGTTCCTTATAATGAAAAATCTTCAAGTAACTATCAAGTGAAAAATATTTTTATCAAAAATAAGATTGATTATACAACAGTTCGGTTTCTAGATACACCATGTAACCAAATCAAACCTTATCAAGTGATTGATTGCAGTCAAGCGGAAATTAACTGGCCCTGTGCTCTCCGAATTAATTAGAGTTATATCTTATTTGCTGTAAATCATCATACCTGCAAACTGAAATCGTCTATCAGTTAATATCTTTGTGGTTTTTCATCATAATATGTTGTACTAAAAGCAGATAGTTTGTTTTAGTATCGATCAAACACTCACTGATAGTTCAAACATTCTTTTTGTAACACCTGATGGTACTGTCCACTAAGTATTCTACCGTTCAAACCGAATACTCAATGTACATATATACATACATACGCAGATGGTTTTGATCGATGATATCAACTCAAAGGTGTGGTAAAGCTAATTTAGGTTGCTTTGTTGTATCGACTTAGCTGATGTCCAGGATACAACTCTTTCATTACTTTCTTCTCTGCTCACTAATATCTGTGATCGTGAGCTGGATAGTATATGTGATGACAGAGCTAACTCAAATTCGTCATTACTGCCGTGTTGAGAATAAGAGGGCTCGTTCTGAGTAAACAGGTTTGCTATTATAATATCTACATTGATGTGTTGCAGTGCACTTTTCCAACAGGAAAAACAATTTGGTCGGATTTTGAATCCTGTGCTGAATCGATCACGTAGCAAACCGCATGACCATAGCTTTGACCTGATGGTAAATGAGTGAATCCCTTTTGTTGGGGGTCAATGGGGCTGCAGGTTCGCATGCAGTTGATGACTGTAGTATTATAACGATAATATCTAGTTGGAACAATGTGTGCAAAAATATCTGACAGCCTGTTTGTAGGTACCGAGGTGTACTAAGTTCAAGAAGTTCTAACCAGTAGGGCTAGTAATCTTTGGGATATTTGTAGCACAATTAGATAAAAGTGTAACCTACGTCAGAGGGCTAATAACAAGTCTATCAAGTTTTCAACATCCAGCCTGAGCAGTCTGCGCCGGATTATGCTTCAAATGACGTACGATGTGAGAGAAACTGGGCAATAATGGAAAATTAAATTTCACATAAGTAATATTTGGCAGCAAGATGAAGTCTTTAATTACTGGAGCTCTATCTCGGTTGGGTGAATTCAAAATTGTAATGTCGATATGTCTCCTCATTTGTATCCATCATTTTAAATCCCATCCTATTGGCAGTCAGTACAGACAATTGAAAGTCATCAAGAAGCCTACTTAAACTCTTTCGAGAAGCCTGAAGATGGAGACTTTGATGTCTCTGTATCAAAGTGAATGATGCTTATTGATTATTTTTACTTCATATAGCAAACTTCTTGTCTGTATACTCTGTATAAACCCCACTGGAGCTTCAAGTGGTCATAAATTGCGCTCACTGCGAAACTTGCAAGCTTGCGAAAAGCTAAAAGCTTCTTCGTCTATATGCTTGATAGCATACTGCCACTATCGATTCTATGCACCAGCCATAGTCATGTAGGGTAACTCACAAAATCCGGGATACTACAGAGTATAATGCAACGGTCATAAAATTGTGACAACTGACCGTGTGGCCCAATGGATAAGGCGCTAGCCTACGGAGCTAGAGATTCTGGGTTCGATCCCCAGCATGGTCGTTATCTTCCGTTTTGGGAGCGGCGTCATCATTTTGATGTCTGGATGTGAGATCAATGAGCGCTGTTGTTTGCGGATTGCAAGTTTGTCAGACGCATAACTTTCGGGTTAGCTACCTGATTATCAGAATTGCACCACTTTGGAGCGCATTCATATTTTGATGTCGGAATGTGAGGTCAATTAGCGCTGTTGTCTCCGGATTGCAAGATTGTCAGAAGCATAACTTTCGGGTTAGCTACCTGATTCTCAGAATTGGACCGAACGCGGTATAGGTTTGTCATACTAACAAAGTTGAAAACTATCAACTACGTACATAGTAACTACCTGGTTGACCAAAGCCCCACGATCCTCTATATAGAGGATCGTGGGTGCAAGCTTCTGAAGCAAGAGAGCCTTTGAACGGAGGATCAACTGCGGGTTAACTACCTTGTTGACAAAAGTCCCGCTATATAAACTGGTGGACACGCACAGTGTAATCAAGAACAATCAGCTGGGGTGATTAGATTTATCAATGATAGCTTCCTTCGGCAGGAACAATCGCAACTTTCCACTTGAGATGTTACTACTGCTTGGTTGGACTTGAAGATGTTTAAAAGGAAGTCTGGATGCGAATTCCACCATACTTAGAGGGACGGCATATCTAGGCAATTTGTACTCTTTTAGGGAATTGACTTGTCTTGATCATCAACATAATCTATTTTATTATCGGAAAGTTCTGTATCGCTTTACTACATCCATAAACCAATAGAAGCTTCTTTACTTCACGTTATAATTGTGATCTTGCTCGTTAACGACTCTGTTGCAGCCTAGAAGTTCATTCCGACAGTTTAAGCATGTACAGATGACAGGAGTATAGCTTTCAAACTATAAAGTATTAAACTGTGCAATATGTTAAAGGTTATAAGAAGCTATACAAAATTTACCTCAATGTTAATTTACTATTTACACACAAGAAAAAGACTTCTTTTGGTTGTGAGCTAACAGTGTATTTTTGTCTTGTCTAGTTCTCATTACTATCAGCCTTGCCGGAATGCGATTACGTTTTTGTCACTTACATGCACAGTGGTGATAAGGGCTTCGACACTAGACCAAATGGAAAACTAATTTTTTCTCATATGAAATCAGAACAAGGCAGCGATTATAGGCAATTTATGTCTTGGCCGGAGAAAATATAGCATATTAGACGAGTGTAAGGTTAGTAGTTAGACTGTTGGCCCAGATCAGTATTCAAGAGTTACTTGCCACGAGGAACAAGGATGCTGTATTAGAGAAGATATATATTTCATTTTTCATTGTATGGTCACTTTCCTATATTTTATTTCATTTTTCCTGGCAAAGATTGATATATAATTGATCTGTTAAATATTCTTTCTTGTACATTTGCTTTATGAATTCGCAAGTTAGTATGTAACTTCATAATTAAAACACCTTTATATTTCTACCAAGTGTTTCAAGACCAATGATCAACTTTTCAACAATCCACAAGAAAAGCTGGACTATTTTCCGTAGACTAGCTTTCAAAATTCAGATTGTCACCAAAATGTATATGACAAACCTTACGGTCAAAATGTATATCCAATGTCAATAATAGAGATAAATAGTATTTTTTGAATCCACAACAACTTATCGGTCGACTCTTGAGATGTTCATGAAGAGTACGCCAGTTTAAAAAGAATATCATGCACAAATTATCTGCACTCCGGAAAATGCGTATTTATATATACAAACCTGCTCTCAAACAGCAAGCTGGCACTTCACACTCACTCTGATGGTATATTGCGTAAAGCTGCAATGTACCAGACGGAAGAGTTCGGCACAAGTCGACAGTGCACAGAACTCACCGCTATATACAGTCGTACACTATTCACATCATCTCAGGGAGATGGGAAAGGTTCGATATCCTTATTCTATGCTTACAGAAACCACTTCAGATCATGCCAGTTGCGTTTACAACATCTGTTTGGAAGTCAGACGAAGAAGGAGCACAGCTTATATATGATCCGTCGCAGTTCATTTAACCAAAGAACTGATGCTTCTTCTTCTCGCCGGATTTGTTGTCTTCTTCGTCAGACGACGAGGAGGAAGAACCATCTTCTTCGCCTCCCTTCTTATGTCCCTTCTTCAACTTGTTGATTCCGAGAGTCTCTCCAATTTTCTCCTTCAATCCTCCGCCGGACTTGTGCTCTTCGCCGGTCGTCTGTCCGGGCTGCAATTTATCATACAGAGAGTTTTTTCATCAGAAATTCGTTATACTGGTTGCCCGACATTGGGATAGTTCTACTACACAGAGCTCGAGAACCCTTCACATCTATCACTGTGTGAGCTGAGGTCGTGCACCTCCAAAACAAAATTGTACCTATCGATTCACTTGACTATGAGTTGGTCGACTATTGTGCGACTCTATGCGCAATAACAAGCTTGAGAGCTTCGTCTGGTGTACATCACAAACATGAACGTCCCGGGTTACACATGAATAATATGGTGACAATGTCACACCAAGAGAGATATACAATGAGGGAGATCTGTTCTTTTCTGTAGACACTCTCGGCCATCTGCACATCACGTCTGTGTACAACTTACTTGTATGGTACCAGCGTTGTAAGTACCGACCATTGGCTCTTGCGTGCCGTGAGTGCCATGGTCGGGCCTCATGGGCTGCTGCTGGCCGTAGCCTCCTCCTTGCTGATGTCCACCACCGACACCTTGCTGGGTTCCATGGGATGGCGCAGTTCCATGCTGGTTCTGCTGAGTCTTATCCTCGTCCTTGTGTCCGAAGCCGAAAAAACCTCTGTCTGTGCTTCCTTCCATGTCGATCGACGTAGAAGATCCGGGCAAGCTGGCTCTTCGAAGTGAGCTGGGAAGATCCCTGTTAGGGAAGTGGAACAAAGAATACTCTACGATTCCGAACTGGACTCAATCACTTAGAAAGTCTGTTGTTGGATGTGCTGTAACTGCAAGTGCTGTGTTGCTGTGATGTGAGTTCCTTCTGGCTGCGCTATATACTTTCCTGCCCTGACTGGCTGAACCGGTCGCTAATCGGTTCCGGTATTTTTTATCTGCCAGATAAATAGAAAAACCTTAAATTCTCCTCGTATAATCAGTTTGTATGATGGTAAACCACAAGAACCTTTGGACAAAGGTAGACACCTTCGAAAGTTGACTGTTCCTTTTCGTATTCATGTGCATGGATTATGTTCCGCCTACATCTCATTGCGTTGACTGCCCTTGCATTAACCATTCCATATTTGGCACGTAATATCTTGGACAATCCGTTCTGTATCTTCAATCTTCGCCGTAGGATTCAACCGGTTCAACGGAGCCGATTAACTAGGAAATTCTATTGTAAGGGAAGAATATTCCTCACCCACTCATATCCACATCAGCAGTAACTCCATCCAACAGGCATCCAACACGCCAAACTTCTATGGCTTCCACGCGTCGCAGGGTCAGTTGCGTATCGCCACGTCGGCTCGGTTGTGGCAGTGAAAGTATGGGTAGGACTGTAATTGTCAGCTGCCCATCGACGAGAAACACAGTCGCGAGGCATGAGCCGCATGAGTCACGAAAGCAGCCAATCATATCTCCAGGACGAGCAGCGCTACATCGTGATTCGTGAACCCGTACTGATCTTGACTCTCTATTTTCTAAGTAGGAGCGCACTAAGGTTCCTTTCTTGGGGAGGAAGTACCGATTGATATGACAAAAAGACGAAATTACTCTATCAAGTCTGAAGAGGGATACTACCAAAAGGATGGTATAATGTTCACCCCCAATAGCAAATCAAAGGGAAATATGTACTCTCTAGCCTAAAATATCTTTCCCACTTATAATAGAAATATTTGAAGAGTCATCACCCTAGGTAATTGATTGCTCTAGAAAGAAGGTTAAGTATTTCGTTAAATATTTTATCTCTCTATGTATAAAGTGATATACGTGTGACCTGCTAAAATATTCTCCTATACTGCATTATTAATGTCATTCATCTCTATTCATTGTTAGAAAACTCTATGTTTTATTATAACTTAATGAACTCCATATATGCCTAAATATTTTTACTTCTAAAGTTGTAATATATGTAGTATCTGTAACCATAATGTGCTAAACATCGATCTACTACTTCCGAAAAAAAGTTGGTTTTGATTTGCCAATTTCAATTACCAACAATATCAATATGTTTTACATTTGATTTCATCTCTCCTATTATGTCAAACATCGTATGCATATAAGTATATATCTTTTGCCTTCAGAATAAGCAATAAATCATCTGACTCAAGTTGTGGCCAGGATAATAATACTTTTACAAATAAATTATGTACATGTGCGTATCAAATCAACGTGTAGTGTAACCTTGCTGTTGTAGAGAAATAAGCTAGTTAAAGTCTAAAAGTCTTGATGCCTCATTTAATTAAAATTCACATCCACTTATATTTGTCAAAAATAGGTACAATTGAGTTCTAGTGTTTTAAAACCATTTCATGTTCAAATCATTTAAAAATTCTTGTTAAATAATGTTTAAGAAATGAGATTTTTATATTCAAAATTCAACAATTTTAACTCAAAAAAATGTGAGCTAAATAACAACACATGTAAATAAAATAAAAACCCCTTCATTGATACTATATTGATCTCAAGTGAAAAAAATCTGCAATTTTTTAAAAGTGATTTTTTGTAAAATAATCGAATAATTAGCATAAGAATTTCTGCATGTCATATATTATATAAAACTATATATTTATTCCAAAGATCAAAATTTCCCAAACATCTCTAGTTGATTTATGTGATTATATTTCATTAACATTATGGTGCTTTTGTCCAAGATTATCAAATGTAACAAGTGTTAGTAGTCAACTCATGTGTTGCATATATCACATAATCTATGCATATAATCTTTAAATCTATCATGTTTTTTCAACGATTAAGTTCTAGTTAATTCTACTTCATACCTAGACCTAGAGATTATTTGCAGAGCAGTCCTCAAGAAGAAGATTTACATCAATTTATCCGTGTTCTAATTGAATGTGATTGATTGAATTTCAGTTCGATAATCAAGTTATTTTGTTACTATTTAAGTAGCTGATTGTAAATCTCTAGGGTTTATTTACAATTTTTGCACCAAAAAAGGCTGTGTTCTGTGAAGTAGCCTGATAAGATGAACCACATATATTTTGTGGTTCAACATGTATGAGTTATCTCTGTCGACTCAAATGCGTTAAGGTTTTGTAAATGTTTGAGTCAAGATCAACAACAAACAATTATATAAAATTCAACTATGCAGATTTGTTAAAAAAATTGATGTAAAAATATTTAAAACCTATACCAAACTCCACTTTCTAAATTTACACATGTATGACTAGTTTATGATAATCACTAATGTTGCAAAGAATTTAATTTTTTAAAAGAATTTTAAAATTATGGTTAACATTATGGATGCCGATTTAGACATATGTGTATGTGCGAAATGTGTGAAATTTGTTTTATTATTTTATTCAAGGAAAATGATATATAAATTTACAATTAGAATATTTATTTGGACTCGCCTTTAAAAAAATTCAAATTAAATTATGCTTCTTTGATTTTGATTGATCGAGTTCATCTGAAAGCTTTAGCTAGTTGAAGCATAACATCATCACAGATTTTCAAGATGTTTAACTTAGTAAATTTCTTTGTGTTTTCTTTAAAGAAACCAAATGAATCTTCTTTTTGGATTTATCAAAATAATAAAGCAAAAAAGAAAAAGTATGCCATCAAAGTATACATGAATAAAACCAGAAGAAGAGTATATTTTTATTTGACTATCTTATCCCATATCAAACCAAGAGCATCCAATAAAACATAATTTAATCTGATTGACTTTGAATGTATTCCTTTGAATAATATTGAATGCATAGTTTGTTATACATGCATCTTAAAAAAATTATAAGATGTGTTAAATATATTGATTTTCATACAATATCCATGTATATAAACTGATGATTTAAATTGAGTCTATAATAATGATTCAATACAGCAACAATAATTTCACTAACATTAATCAAAATAACTAGAGTTATTCAAGACTTAAATCGCGTGAGATATTGCTATTCTTACATCAAATAAAACACCACAATTCACATGGCACTATAGTAAGTATGCTCTAAACTTCAAGTGAGAAATGATTCATTTGCATGCTCGTTCCATAGGAGGTAATCAATATACATGTTATCATGAAAATGCAAATGGTTGATATAAACCAAGGCAAACCTCATTATCTTTCATGTAGAGATGGCTTTCTTCGCAGATTTTTAGGCCTTCCAATATTGTCGATAGAAGGTTGACGGTGAGATACATTTTGCTGTATTTCTTAGTAACTTCTTTGATTTGAGAGATCAACACACAAGTCATTTGTTGTATTTTACTAAATAATTGGTAGAATGATTTGAACGGATTCGATGTATTGTTCATAAGGTGGCAGGCATGCATTGGATCCAGGCATTCCAATGTAGTCAGAAGATTGCATCAGAAGACTACATTAAGTTTCAGAGGCGAATAACAAATTAACCGTGGTGCCAGTACTCAGTACTGAATTGACCATGGTGCGCTTTTGTGTCTGTAATGTCAATAATGTATTCTGCGGTATTATTGTGAAGTAATGAGACATAAATCAACTGCTTTCGTCTTGGCATTAAATCATCAGCACATACTATTTCACAAGTACCAGGAGAGGTATTAAAAGTCATGGTCGAGTCACAAATTACATCTGCTGTACTGGTGGCAAAATAATTAATCTAATGGCAGAGTAATTAAATAATCTTCCAAAATTGAAAACACCCTTTTTTAATCAAACCCGCAGCTCTGCGTAGTGCACCAGTATGGAGTACAGTATATGTCTCTAGAAGAGATGTGTTTCTATTTGAAGGTGGTTTTAAACCAGTATCGTGACAGGTGAGAATGTGACATAATCTACTCAAGATGAAAAGTCTCGTCAACAAAACTGGAATAATTTATGTAGCACCAAAGAGGACCAAAGGAGGGAGCACGATAACAACGAAGAACCACGCACCAAGGAAGAAATGCGCTCCATCACTATAATGTTGCGTATGCTGCCTGCCAGTATATCTAAACCCTGCACATGTCACATGGCCGCTTGATTCGTTGATGAAATCTGAAGACAGGCAATACAAACTCCATGACGATACGGTCTTGGAAGCAGGGAATTCCAAGTGATATTTTCGCGCGCTTACCCGGCTTGGTAATGATTTTCGTGCCTCCCTATTCATATGGGCTTTCACTGTCCAGGACTGCATCTCTCATCGCTCGAAGCTGACGGAAAGACGTGCCTCGGAATTCTCCAGCAATATCCCAGATGTGAAGAAGAATGTCAATTCTCCGAGTTTAGTGGCACTGTAAGGCATTTCCGCAGAACGCTCGTGGACAAAGCAAAGCACAAATTTTCCGTTGGGGAACGTGTCTGTTTCGTTTTTCGAAACAGACACGTTCCCATTCATCGTCAAAAGTGCAATCAATCGATGGTGGAACATGTTAAATCCGAAACCTTGAGAGCTGGATGATGATGAGAGGCAGCGGAGTGGATTGAGTCATTTCAGCACCAGTTAATATGGAGCTATTATTAAGAATGGAGAATTACCATTAGGAAAAGCCTTCGGAAGGAGTTCTCGTTCGACCCCGTTCTTTCCGGAGGTGTTGAGAATCTCCTGCGATTAAGATCTCAAGTGACCCTCCGTGCTCAATGTCATGAACTAGGCTGGCCTGCAAGGACCATCGCACGCAAATTTTTTAGAGACGAAATTCATCGGCCGACCGTACTGTCGGTGTATTGTATCGGAGACACTGATTCCGCATTTCCTGACTCAAGTTATAGAATTAGCTGGTTACCGAATGCAGGCCATTGTCGGGGCTCTCGAACACTGAAATACCCGTCTGCAAGGTCCGCTTTGAAACAATCCTCTGGATCTGAGCTAAATTGGACTGTGCAGCTCTCACCCAGTGGATTTTTTTAGATCGGAAGCGTGCACTTAAGCAGTTTATTGCTATCGATCGAGTAGGAACCAAACCAGAATCAACTATATCGGGACGAGTAAGCATTTTGCAACTCTGGCGTAAATCCCGCGGCACTTGAATGCAGCAGAATCCCTGAGGAATTGATCCGAGCTGAATTGGGTCATGCCGCATCCAGCAAGCGGAATTCCTGAAATCGGAACCGGGCTACAGAGTAATTTTCTTCGATCGCTCGAGTAGCCAACAAGCCAGCAGAATCTTAGATCTGGGGATTGATGCGTGTTGCAATTCTCTCACGAATCCCTCCGCACTCGAATGCTGCCGAATCTTTCCCTGGTGGGGTGCAGTGGTGAAACTCGATCGAGAACTTAGAAGAATCGAATGGACCACAAAAGAGGACATGGTTCTCTGGATCAATCAAACGAGCAGTCCAGTCGAGTGAAGAGACACAAAGATTACAGCTATCAGCAACCGACCCACACGCCCCAAAACACACGCAGCAGCAGGCTTCAGGCATGTACGCAGGCAGACCCGAATTTCGTTCCCAGGATCGCAATTATAAACAGCCAACGTGTTTTATGTCCAGTTTTTTCTGCCTAAATGTCAGAGTACCAGGATCGACGTCCAGTGCACAAATGTAGCCCGAAGATCGAAAAAGGAGATCAATGCTGACGGTGTCACTATGTCTTAGGTCACATTGAATGCTGAATTTGTAGTCTATTGCCAGTCAGAAGAAGCGAGGGAAGCGAGGGAAGCGAGGAGCTCCCGAGTGGAATTGGCTAGCGTGGAGCAACTTCGGTCCATAGCCGAGAAGTCGGCGAAGTCCGTCAACAATCTGGGAGGATCGTCCGACAAGCAGTCTACAGAAAACTCGGTCGAACAGATCGCTTATGAAGAGTACATTCCCGTTCTTCTTTCAGAGCTAGCGAGCGCGAAATCTGCAGCCAGGTCCAAATGGCCTCTTGTTTTGACCGATAGGAGGGTGAAGAAATATTGTCACATCTGTCCCGGGGACAAACACTTCAGGGTAAAGTCTGCTAACTCCTTGTCTGCGTTTAATTGAAGTCAGCCATGCGCAATCGTACAAATCAACTCCCAAATCTTTCTCGTGCCCCTGCTGCTGCTGCTATTGTGCATTTCCGTGATTCTAATTCTTCCGGAGAGCAGCAGCATCACTCTGTATCTAAAGAGGGAGAGGGCGAGGGAGTGTCATCTTCCAGGGATGGGAAGCTCTCCTAATTCACGCTGCGAAGTTCCAAAAGGAGAAGACACGGAAGCATCGAGGCTACTACCGAGCGATTCGAGACGCCCTTCTGCAGTCCACCGATGACCAGATCCCTTTACCAGACATTCGCCAGGGTCCGACATCTCCCCTGGCCAGGCTCAAGAGGTCCTCCAAAGGACGCTGGGCACCGCCGGTCGTCATCGTGGACGACAAGGAGGATGAAGGAGGGGAGGAAGAGGCGGAGGACGAGGAGGTCGCGCCTCGGGAAAAGAATGGCAAAGATCGAGATCGAGGTGGTAGAGCTAAAGGATGTCCCATTCGACCGTCAAAAGATCCGCAGCTGGAAGAGGTGCTTGCAGTTTACAGCACTGGTCGCAACCATCAGAAGAAGAAGGTGGTGGTCATTCCCGCTTCCCAAGTGGGGTTCATCGAAGCAGGGCTTCTGAAGAAATCGTCGTGCGGTCGAAGGAGCACACAATCAGCAGAGCACGATGCTATTTCCGATATCATGGAAGGGCGATGGCCCGGGGCCAAGATCAAGAAGTACACCGGAGCTGATCACGGCACGTGCAGTGTGGCTTCTTCCACGAGCACAGCTCTGTGCACGACCGACGGAAATCGGGCGCTGCAGCTCGGACGTCCAACTTCGCCTAAAGATCGGATGCAAACACTCCTCTCAGACAGCGAGCAGGACAAATTGGAGGGCGAGGAGCTCAGATTGAAGAAACCATTAGAGCAGAATCGTCATATCTTTGATGAGCAGCAGTTTGACGATAAGGTACAAATTTTAGTCAGCAGATGGAGGGGTGGATTCAAGGACTCCAAAGTCCGCAAAGACGATGACCGGTATCTAGAATTCGCTGATGCGAGACCCTTGCTGCCCGCTAAAAGATTGCCCAAATCGGTGAGCGCCTTGCCTGGATCGTCTTTCTGACCGTCGGTACCAGATTAAGGATCTATGTCGTGCTCGTTGAGCAGAGGCAGTCCAATCTTCAACTGAAATCAGTGAAGTGAATGACCTTGCAGGCTATTGAGAAAAACGAGAGATTCAAGGACGATGTAGAAAAATATGCATTATTGAATCCATCCTGCAGAAAGCAAGTGAGCAGGCAGATCACCGTCCTCGAGGACGAACTTCGAAGAGACAAGCTTGTCTGGCTTCAGGTGAGTTGGAGAGTGTTTAGCATTTCACTATTCTCGTTTAGCCTCGCAGAAATGTTTTTAGTCTGTTCATTCCAACTGCGAGTGCCAGCATGCTGCAGCGATGATTTTGAGATGACTGCTCGTGAATCATGACAGGAGGTAGAGGCCGTCCGAGAACAGTTCCAGGCTCTTGCAGATTCTGTTCATGATGAGCAGTAAGAACTAGTATCTCCATTATCTTGGGCATTCTGCTTGAAATGCTTGTTCAAAGGTTGGAGATTGTGGTCTCATAGGTGAAGGATGCATGTCTTCAGGCACTCGCATGTTCCTTCCCGTTAGCCGTAGTTCTGCTAAGCTGAGCGTTGATGAATTCACTGTGTAGTACACGCAAGCAGCCCCTAACAATCTTCTTTCATTTCATTACTAAAAATCTTAGTCACATTCAGTCTACGTTGACATTACTACTGCTGATTATGCTAACTTCTCTCGACTGGTAGTTTCTACTGGTCACATTCTTCCCACTGAATATCTGTTCCGATTCTTGTTCTTGGTTCACTAGTTTGAACTTTGAATATTTGTTCTCTCTTCGATTGAATCCGGAGTATTGAGCAACTTTTCCTTCAGTTTCACCCTTCTTCTGGCCTCAACAAGCATTTTCCACGTTCCATTCGTTGTCATGGTGAGGAATTGCAAAGCAAGACTGCAAGGTCCATTACCTTTCAAGGTTATACTGAAACTAGAAGTTGGTGGACCCGTTCGCAGAGTTGATAGAGATGGAGCAACAATGCGCATCGAGAAACATCTGGATACAAGAACCAAGAACATGAAGGAAAGGATATATGACAAGAGGAACTTTTTTATGGCGAGGAAAATCCAGTGCATGCACAACGTAAAGAGGATCAGAGTAAGTTGCACCTGTTTCTGAGTATACCAGTTTTTGGTATCAAGCAATTCCCTACTGGAGGGAGATGTGGCGACTGAAGGTGGCCACGAGAGCATAAATGTTCATCACTGTCTGTCATTGAACCAAATCTCTGTCCGTTCACGCCCTAAGAAGAAGCATCACATCAGATTTTGAGCGATGGGTCATTCCCTATAAACAACTTGACAAACCAATTCGTTTTTTGCATCGGAAACTTCTGGCAGCGCGAACAAGACATGCAAGGGTTGATGGACCTTTGGCGTGAGGAGCAGCGAACCTTCGAAAATGAGTGTCAGAGCGCTAAGAAAGAGAAGGAGAAGTTAATCGGCCTCCACGAGAAGATTCATTTGAAGGCTAAAGAATCTAAGTAAGCCTCACACATCTACACGCAAATATTCCAAAGCTCACACTTATCCAACACGCCTGCAATAATAAGAAAAGTGCAAATGTAACCCACCAGGAGCCGTACAAATTCTGGGCCGACATAGAGAGAGAGAGAGAGAGAGAGAGAGATAGCTAATTTCATCCATGTGAGAGTATCATGATAGTGGTCGTTCAATCTACCTAGAAAATATTAAGAACGTTCACAGATTTTGACATGCAGTGCGGGATTCTCCTCAATTTCGTTCCACGGTTTGCAGGAGAAAGCAGTGTCCCATCTGTCTGGAGAAGTGGGACTCGATCAAAGAGCTCCGGAGCTTTCTGGATACATCGAGGACTTGCAAGTGAACCAGCAGTCACGGCTCTGGAATTTTGGAGAGCGGATCACAATTTCGGGAATTCGACACACTGAGGAGACCCGGCAAATCTCAAACCTGTGTCTGATAGAAAGCATTTGAGCTTTGAAATTAGGATGCGAGAGAGGGGTTGTATGAAACGGGTATCAAGGACCCACGCTTTCGAGAGAATCTGGGATTCAACACCTCTTGGCTCGTTCGGGAGGTACCATCAGATCCAAATTCGATCTGAATCTGGGACGCACTTTTGGATTATGTAAAGTGATATTTAGACTGATGTTTACTATCCATCACTATTTTGATCCACTTCCTTTCCACGAGTGCTACTTTCCCATGTTTCTTCGTATCAGTGTTGATTGTTCCTGCAATAACGAGGGAATTTTCGAAACGAAAAGAAAAAACAAAACAAAACATAACATAACGAGCACGGGGAGACCCGGCAATGCTTTGTAGCAACTAATTGATATATATTTCTATATAATATATAACACTCATGGATGAAAAGACACAACAATGCCCGAGGAGATTATTGCATGAGCAGGAAATAAAACAACTTAGTATCTAAAGGAATGTACTCCATTGTCATATCTCAAGAATGTTTTTTACCACCTCTATGATTTAGTTTCAATCAAGTGAATGATTGATATTGACCTAAATAGAAATAAATAAATCAGGTATTGAGTAATGAAACTCATCCATATTCTGCTATTTATATATTCTAAGTTTTGTACTAACAAAGGGAAGAAATTGCAAATGTGATAGAAACAAAAAAGATTGTCACAATGAATTTTTTTGAAGCAGTAAAAATCATTTTTGAAGCAGTAAATTTTAATAAAGCAGTAGCGTCATTTAAGATATAGCTTGAAAATAATACCGACAGACTACTACAAAAGAATCGCTCATAAATCATAATATAAATAATAATAAATCGCTAAACCCCTCTCGACAACAGAGAGAGAGGTCCTTCAAAACCAATGACAGAACAAGTCAGACTCATTGTGCTGCAAAATTAGCTCTTTGAGGAAGGACGTGGAATCATGGCATTCATTTTCTGTTAGTAGTCTTAGATTACAACAATTTGGCAGAGACTCGTCAGCAAAGCTGTGGAAATTAGATCCATGGGTTCTCGGGCGACTCCCGTGACCGAAGTGCAGACATCAAAGAAATGGAGCGCAGAGATTGTGGGGCTCGACTGGAAGAAGATGGACACCTCCATTCTTGATGAAAAGTGATCTCCGGGCGAAGATCTCGATCCCCTAGAATAGTGTGGACGACGTAGCGGTGGCACAAAATTGTGATGCAAAGTGGCCACAGCATTGCGCTCCTGTCGCATTTATTTGGCCACCGACGAGTCAACACAGCTCATGAGCGAGCTCGCAGAGCTTCTGGGGCGACGGGAGCGTCGTACTTGTTGACACTGAGCGTTGTGGGCAGTTGGCTCGGAAGCGGTGAATTCTGTTTCGATTTAGGGATCAAGACCTGTGGGAGACAGGAAGCAAGCGAAAGGGAAGAGCACGGGAGAGGAAAGCGAAGGCGGACAGCTTAGAACGACATACTTTTTGATAGATCAATCCAACATGCGAAGGGCAACAATTCGCGTGGTGATACCTGTGGTCAGGTGGCAGAAATTTCGTTGTCTGTCTCAGGTTACAGATGGAGTACCGCAAGTCTCCTCTGCCCAGGTGCGAAGCTAACGATTCGTGTATTCTGTTTGAATAAATTGCTTCGTTTTGTTCATTGATTCTGGATACACTAAGCGTCGTTCTAGTATATTGGCTTCGGGATCGTAAGTCTCACTGCAACCTGAATTCCACATTATGTGGGCGTTGTTGATCTCGGCTGAGCAGGAGCGACCAACTAATACTAGTAGAGAATCAGGGGACGACCAATTTGACGTGGTTATTGTTGGGGGTGGAATGGTTGGTGCGGCTGTGGGATGCGGCCTAGGTTTGAAACCTCACCATCATGTCTGTGCTTTTTTTTTTTTGTTTCAGTCCACAACTCCAGCCAGCTGAAACTCGTTTTTGTCATGAAATACTCAGATGTTCTATTCTTGCTTTCCATGATGCTCACTGCAGTGTAGAAGATGGGACAGTTTAGTCAGTGTTGAAAATGAAAATATTGAACTTCCCGAACTCAGTGTCAGCTCAAGCAGAAGCTCGTTAACTTGTGCTTTTTCCAAGATAATTAGTCTCCAGCTACAGGAGAACCTAATTCTGTGCAAAGTTTTGTAAAAAAATTGTTCCAAAAGTTATCTCTTGTCATCGATGATTACAACGATTAAGTCACCAGGTTCCAGCGTTACAAGTTGGTTATTGGATCATGATATGTTGATTGTGTGCGACGCTGGCATTTGATACTAACACTATCCGCAACGTGGCAGCAAGTTCTGCACTCACAAGATCATTGAGGGTGGCTATAGTGGACGGGAATCCTGCCACAAAAGAAAAGTACAACAAAAAAAGCGATGCGGTGCCTGATTCCAGGGTAAGCGCGATTACTCCAGCGACGGTCCGCTTCCTTAAAGGTAATTCCTACCTGACTTACCGACGCATGTTGCCATGTCTTACTGGACTAAAGCTGGATTTGTGGAGACAAAATATACTGAATTCACCACTTTCACGCATTTTCAAACTGTCTTGACGACCTTGCCGTTTTCATAATACAGATGTCGGGGCTTGGGAGAACATCCAAAGAAGTCGACATGCACCATTTGACGCTATGCAGGTTCGTGCCTCCCTCCATAACTTCTCCTTTTTTTTATTTTCCCTCAAGCAGTTACCTGTTTCTATCCGATGGGGCGACATAAATTGTTTTGGGCGTATAGCATCGAATTTTCCATTGAATATCATGTTTGGAGCAGGTCTGGGATTATTCTGGCTTGGGATATACGAGGTATCAAGCTGCAGATGTCGGAGAAGATTTTCTTGGGTAAGATGTCATTTTCGTCCCCTGACTCGATTCTTTCACTATGACTTGAAATTAATTCTCCCGATGACTGGTGGATCGTTCGAAATATGCGAGTGGGGAAGGTAGTCAGGTGCTCATGATGCTGGACATATGAAATGCACAGTACCGGGGTCCTACATCTTTTCTTCTCCAGTTTTTCCATTCCTTGTCCTTCTCCAAGTGTCTCCTTTTCGTTTTTGCATCTAATTTTGGGTAATAATGTCAACTTCTTACTAACTGTCTTGCGATGTGCATGTGCTTGCAGATATGTTGTGGAGAATAATCTTCTTATATCATCTCTTGCCTCCGCTTTGGAGGTTCAATTTTAAACTCATATCCAATTTTTCTTTCAAATGAAGCTGTTGGATTAGAAGTTTTAGCCCATACTTACCGTGGCTTAACCTACCTTTTACAGTCTGATGAGTTTGTCACCATCTCCGTCTCCATAGCTGATGAGCATTCTGTGCAGCGTACAGGCTTTGCGGAAATTATATGCCCTGCAACAGTACAAGGTGTACAGTTTCCTGCTAAGACCTCCTCTTCATCTGCTCGGAATCTCTTTGAGAATTTGAGCGAGAGAGCACAAAGTCACATTGGTGCATCAACTTGTGTCCGGGAACAGAAGAACGTAGGGCAAACGAGTCCAAATTCATTTGCTCTGAATGACGACTGGGCTCAAGTCATGCTCGAAGGTGGAAGACTGCTTCGAACTCGGCTTGTGGTACGTTAAGATTGAGTGGAAATTGTGCAACTTACAAACTTTGAAGAGTACAGTAATAGAGTAGAGAATTCTAACGAGTATGTGATTCAACTCAAGGCCCTTTTCTCCCCTGTGTGCAGGTGGGAGCGGATGGTGGTCGGTCTAGAGTGAGGGACATGGCAGGTTTGGAAACAAGAGGTTGGGACTACAATCAACATGCGTTGATTTGCACTGTGCGCGTTGGATATCATCACTCAACAGCCTGGCAAAGATTTCTTCCAACTGGACCCCTCGCTCTACTTCCGGTCGGAGAGGATATGAGCAATATTGTATGGTCAACAACTCCAGAGAAGGCTAAGGAGCTGAAGGCTATGTCGAAGGAAGATTTTGTGACCGCAGTCAACCGGGCACTCACAGAAGACTTTGGTCCTCTTCCCAGTTCTCGGATGGGTGGTCCTTTCAACTCTAAGTGGTTGACACCATTATTTGGAGAAATGCCTCCTTCCGTATCTGAGCCGTTTATTGCTCCGCCTCCTGTCACGGCGTGTCTTTCAGATCGACTTTCTTTCCCATTATCCCTCAGGCATGCTACCAAGTATGTATCCAACAGGGTGGCTCTCGTAGGAGATGCAGCCCATACTGTTCATCCGCTAGCGGGCCAAGGGGTCAATCTTGGTTTCGGCGATGCTGCAACTTTGGTAGAAACTTTGAGAGAAGGCATCAAAACTGGTCAAGACATCGGAGAGGTAAAAATTTTTTCGTTATTCGTTTTATGAGACGTTCACTTTACATGTTGCTTGATCTCACCAGGGTAAGCGGCACGGTTGATGACATCTATGTAAGGAACTTCGCACATTGCGGTGCAACGGCTACAGGAAGGACTCGTCATGATATGTTCTGAACTATATTTTTACCAGGAATTAGGCTCAGCAAATCTCACCTTTGTATGGAATGTGTTTCAGCTCGCTCTCCTCGAGAAGTACGAGAAGGAGCGCTTGTGGGCCAATCTGCCCATGATGGCCGTGCTCGATGGCTTTCAACGAGTCTTCGGAACAGATTTTCCTCTTCTGAACATAGCCCGTGCAGGTGGATTCAATGCAGTCCAGTACATCGGACCTTTGAAAAAGAGAATTATATCATTTGCCATGGGCAGTTGAGATGACTGACGCCCAGATGTAGGGTGTTCCAACGCAGAGGAGCAGCTCGTTGAAGTAATTTTGTTTCTTCTTTCAATGACTGGTCAGGAAGCCTGTTCAGGGGTGAATTGATCATTGATAGAGCGCTATCAATGATTTAAAGGTGATGTCATCCAAACGCTCAAGAGATGCAGAAGAGACGGACAAGAGGAGCACAAGGAACAAGACGAAGATCTAGTGGTAGGCATCGAAACAGCTCCAGGACGGGTTAGACCTCAAAGGAGGCTGACATCCACATATCCAGAGATCTATTGTCCATAACTACAGAGTCAATTTGTGGTGGTATGCACTTGATATCCAAATGTGATTACTTTGTCATTGAAAGCGATCGAGAAGATGGTCCCGTGTTATATTTACAATCAGGTCAACTCGTCACAAGTCGTATTTCGAGTAAAAGACCATGTTTTGATGAAGTTTTAAATTGACAGTTTCCTCACTGACCTTGGTTTTGAAATCTGCAAGATCTTGTAATGGAGTAGTCGTTTATTGTCTAGTAGCATATGCCTATTCCATGTTCTCCTCGGGAACCACATCCCTGTTCTCCTAGCATGTATTACAGTATAGAAAAGTAGATTAATACATATAGTGCCATGTTTCACTGTGAAGCTCTCTCGGAGACATGACTTTACGCCATATTTTCCCCATGCACACAATAAGTTCTACCGTTGACATTTGTTGTATTTATAATCGAGTATTCACCAATTGCTCATCTTCCCTATAAAAAGGCCGAGAAAGCGCGTGCAAGAACGTTCTGTAGAGTTCCCCACCGGGGCTATGCGAGGGATCGCGCGCGACGATGAAAGAAAGTCAGAGAGAAAGAAAGGCGCGCGACGATGGCATTAGAGAGACGACGAAAGGGGCTGCGCCAGATTCCGTGAACGGGGAATCGGATTCCGGAATACATTTGTCACGTCCGCAAGGCGACACGTCTCCGCTCGGAGGCGCCCGCGTTCCCGCCGTCGCCGGCTCTCGACGGCGCCGGAGTTCTGCTTACCAGCTCCGCCACATTTGCTCCTGTAATTGTCTGTCGTTCTATAAGTGATTTAATCCCCAAAATCATAAAAGAAAATTTTTAAAACACGTAGAAATCAATGATTTCTTGAATTGATCATGGGAAGAATTATATTTCAAATGAATCGTAGACAATTTCAAGATAATTCAAATACTAAAAATCTGTCTTGCTCTCATTTGCAAGTGGTCTCTTCGTTTGTTGAGGTACAAATATTATTTTTTCACCACGATACTTAAAAACCTTCGTAATTTTTACTACTTAATCTCTTCCCAACAGTCGTTGTTCATCTATTGTGGACAAACTTACTCCAACATAATAATGACATAAATTTTAAATACAACTTAGGATGTCGGCATTGCCATGCGACCGACCCCGTGTAAAGTTTAATGTAGAACGTTTTCACTATTGCCCAGAAGATTTTACAATTTTGTTAACGACAGAATTTTACCATTCTTATAATGAGATCGATTACTACTTTATTCGTTCCTTTTATCTACAATTATGTAATTATAAATTGAAGATGGATATCTCATTTATGATACTTATATGATGTTTTACTGGTAGTAAAACGATATCTGTAAATTGATTTCTACTTGTAATTGATAAAGCTTGAATTCGAATATAACATTTGTGTATAAGAAGAGAAACAAGTAACTAAATTAAATCATATAAAATCGGAATAAAATCCTAACCGAGATTGAAATTGAAAAATGAAATCATAAAAAAATAAAATTCGAAAAGCCTCTGTTATTTTATTCATTGAGTCAAAGCTAGATTCCAGTTCCATTTTGATTTATGAACGAAAAGTAAAATATCTGTCAGTCGCAGACCTCGAAAAGTGTACAGTTGGCATGAGCTGACGGGAAAGGCAGTAGACTTTGCTCGCTTTATGCCGTATCGGGAATTGGGATGCACCACAATGTAGTTTCCCTCCGTCCCGCTCTATAAGTTACAAGTAACGACAACCTTCAGATTCTTCAGAATCTTCAGACTGTCTGAACATGTATTGAATCTGGACAACGATCAACCCGTCGAAGTGATGGAGAAACGTGTTGGTCGTTCCTCCAGAACGTCGACACTTCCCGTCAAATAAAAGCTGCTGAGACTCTTTCGTCCTGTCCAGGAAGGTACGACGCTGGTTTCCGAGGTGAATCGGTGTTCTGCGCACACTCTCCACAGACTCCTGCAGCTGGATCCTGCGTCGATGTCTTATTTTATCTTCCAAAAGGCCATCATTCCTCACATAGAGTTCCAATGTCTCTGATGTCATCTGATGGCAGCTGAACTAACTGTACGTTTTCAAGTGCAGTTTGAGATCTCCGGACCTGATCCAAAGAGTTTGACGCATTTTCTCCTCAATCGGAAATTATTGTAAAGCTTTGCAGGGTCTAGCTGCAGTGGACTTTTCTCTTTTAAAGTTTTATAGGCCTGGTGTTGAAATGAACGAGAAGGGTGTAGAACATGGAACGTAAAATCCACCCGGTCCAGTTTCTGTTGCAGCTACTTTTCACCCATGGCCTTCCGGGCATACAGCTTTGGACTACTTTTTTATGTCAAGTTCATGACGGTCAGGCTTTCTTCTGCTTTCTTCTTCGTAGGATCTGATTTCCTTCTCTGACAACAGCTTCTGACTCGAATACAACGCACGAGAGGTAACAAAAGTACGGGGCATTCGTCACCGATAGTCTAAAATCTCAGCAAATCTCCACAGCCTGTGGGCTGATAGTTACATGACTTCAACGGATTACGTGAGACCAAACGACAAATCTCTGAACGTAAACGAAATCAGAAGAAACGTTCCAGAAGATTCTCTCGCATGCACTACTCTAGGTAGGTGTTTCTTCCATGGACATCCTAGTGCTTGTTCCTGTGTATGTCGAGCACGATTAAAACCGGTCCGCAGAATTCACTAACAAACTACCGCCGAAGGAAAGTGTTCTAGGCTCTTTGAATAAGCCACTTTCGTTTTGCTTTCGTATATTCTGGGACACCTGACTTTTTGTGCAGAAACAGATGTGAAGCACTGATGTAAAGCCGGGATGAAAGTCGGCGAGATTAGAGTCTCGAGGCCGAAAAGGCCTTAGTCTAGAATTTCAACCCTAGGGTTTCAATCTCGACAAAACTTATGTGGAGAAGTGATGTAGCATTTTGTGGAGAACTAGGAATTAGTTCATGCACTGGGATTCTAAAGGTTGATTTCTTGCGAACGGAACTACGGTACCTGGGTTACCACCGAAGTGATTCACATTAGCAACATAATCCAGTTGTTCGATTAAGGTCTTTGAAATATTGAACTAGTCCACATTGCATTCTCTTTTATATATTACAGTGGTGAGTTTCAGTGTGAGAAGTTTATTGTAATGACTATGACTTTACGAACTGTATAAGTAAGTTCTCAAGACGACGATGCATGGGACGGGATGCATGATTATCCATCATCGACAGAAATGGTTAGTAGGTTTCTGTCATTCGTTAGCTGCAGAAAACATCAAATACCATGATTACATAGATAGTAGGTCAGCAATCTTGACCACGCTGACATGTAGGCAGGTGATTTCATTTAAAACACTCTCCATCGCCTTTGAAAGTGAGGAATTTATTCTTGAGATGGACTCGCTTCCGTAAGGTTTCTTTCATGATCGGTGGTGACTGAGGTATTCAGTCCATTCATTGTAATGTAAAGTACTCGTTTAACGAGCCGATGTATAAACATCGATAGCCCAACGTTTCTTGAACAGAAATTGAAAACAATCTGGGCTCGAGAAGCAGCACAAAAATATGTTCAGTTCATATCTTTGTGACGCGTTGTCTTTTGAATACTTTGTCCATCTTTGTTTGGATGGAAGGAAGTGCTGAAACTCATCTTCTTGAACAAGTCTTCAAAAGGCATCTGCAAACATGGAGTCTCGATCCCAATTTTATTTCAGTGGAGTCCATGTGAGGGCCACTGGTTACCAAAGAACGTATATGATGCTTGAAACATTTTCGATTTTAAGTTGGCATGAATCTCGCTAGCTTGTTGCGCAGATCCACTACCACAACGATGTAAGCACTAATCCCCAAAGATGAGCAATGATGTGACGAAGTCGATGCTAATGAAATCCCGATGTATGGTCGGAATGAGTATGGGGTGGATTACCCCTTGTTCCTTATCATAAGGATTTCTATGTCCCGACACAAGTTATAAGTTGTGTCCAAATAATGTTCGTGAGTGACGGCACTCTGTGAGTACCGTAGTTAGGTCAGGAGTTTCCTTTTTCTCTTGACTCCTTTCATAAGTCATATTGTGTGCGGATAAGGTGCTATTTGATCCACAGCGGACGCTTATTAGTGTTAATCGAAATCGAGTGTTTAACCATTTTGTCCGAAGTCGAGTTAGTGAGTCGTAGCACGGTGACGTGCTGATACAGTTCGGCACCAACAGAGTATATTTTGCTTGAACATGATACATAAGTAAAGTAACCATTTGATTTTTTATTCATTTTCATGACGAAAAGGATAAGAAAATTTTTGTGCTGTAATAATGACCATTTCGAATTGCTGTAAAGCATAGTGTAAAGACTACATACATACCCACGTGTGCAACATAGAAGTGGCACATGGCACGAATTGCACGACCATATACGTCCTCATCATTATTCTTTTTTCTTTTTATACCCTTGGGTGTGTCCCTGCTGCGGCGGGAGAAGATCCGCCATGGATGGCTCCTGGGACAGGTGGTTATGTCAACAACATTCTGTTTCCACCGTCATGGTCTGGCTAGCCGAGAAAAGGCCTATTGCAAGTGACTACATCTTCGATTATAGCATGCAAGGAAATGATTCTTACAAGAGGTTAACATGTGTATATAGGAGGGATATAACCAAAGTTGATATGGGATGTTCGGACATCTTATTTGACTGAGCACCGTCTCGGGGAGTAAAATGTGCTGGCTCGACTATCATGAGAAATAGGATCTTCGACCTTAAATGAGTTAAGCACTATTCTCTGCACGGGTCTGTGGACTCTTAAAGTCCGGAGTCCAGACAAGTTCGAACATTCGCTTAGAATGCTCTCAACAGCTCGCTTTGTTTTTATTTAGTTGAGGTCTGTCATGTGCCATGATCATTTCCTGTAGAGCACACTAGATATTTCATGTGCACTTAGGAACCTTCGACGATTAGGAATGCATAACATTATTTCACATGTAACATTGTCGTAAGAACAATCACTGTTGACAAATATCATAGACATTCTTTGGATTCTGGATCATCCCACCTTTCGAGGTAGATAATTAGCCGATTCATAAGAACAATCACTTTCGACAAATATCATCGACATTCTTTGGATTCTTGATCGTCCCACCTTTTGAGGTAGTTAGAAAATAT